GCGCCATCGACGGGGGCGCGGAGGAAGGTGGGGGGGAGGTCGCCGAAGCCGAAGGAGAGCAAGTAGCTGGCGGCGTCGCTGGAAGCTGAAGATCATCATCAGCGTCGGAGTCCGACGGGATCGTGGCGATGGCTGTGGAGACGGTGGCCGTGTCGCTGTCCGACGACGAAACGGCAGGAGTAAGCCGTGGAGACGACCCCGAGGATGAAGATGACGAAGAACTGCTGATGAGGTAGTCCCGTCGGCCGAGCTGCTCGCGGTCGATCTCCGAGCACTTCAGCGGTGACGCGAGCTGCATCGAACGTACACCAGCGAGAGTTCAGCTGCGGAGGAGGGACGGGGACAGGGGCCACACGGGCGCCAGCCTCGCTTCGTTGTACATGTTGTATGCGGCAGCCATCGCCGAGAAGGTGGCCAGCGAGGGTTCAGATAGGCCCCATCTGGTCATCCACGGGAGCGGGAACGGTCTCGCGAGAGCCTGCCGAAGGGCACGGTGCATGACAGGGCATCTCGCGTAGTGCCGCAACGAGTCGAGTTTGCCAAGACAACCAAATACGCAGTGCTTCTGGCCGTCAGGTGAGATGATACGGGCCGAAGTCATCCAGCCATCAGACCAAGTGCGCAGGACGGCCATGGCCCACGAGCACGGGCAGCGGGCGAGGACGCTCTTGCACTCGCCCCAGTCGATGTTCAAAAGGAGGCCCGCCGACCTGCCAGCGAACTTCCTCAGGCGGAGCACGAAGAGGTCAGTGATAGGCTTGTTCAGCATCGCAAAGGCCCGCAGCGCTTCGTGAGCAGCTCTCTGAGGTCGAGGACGAAGTCGGCCGCTCTCACGAAGTTCAGCCAGCGCAGCGTCGGCAGCACGAGCACCAAAGACGGCCAGCGGGCCAGGGGGAGGGGTGCCAGCGGCGGCCAGCTCCAAATTCTCCACAAAGGCGGGGGCCAACCAGAAGGACGGGTACGGCTTGCCGGTCGCCAGCATGGACAGGGTGGCATCGTACGGGGCGGAGCGCGCGTGGTTCCGCAACTGCAGGAGGAGCCTCTCCCAGTCTGGGAAAGTGTGCAGCGCAGCTCGAGTGATGGTGGCGACGGCCAGGTGCCCCCACCGCGTGCAGCGCGGGCCGCCCCACTGAGCGATCTGCGTCCAGAAGTCGAGGGCGAAAGTGCCGAGCGGGATGCGGAACACCTGCGCGAGCGTCGCCAACTCAGGCTGCAACACTGACGATGGCGGCCAGCAGAATTGGGCAACGTAAGATATGGTCGTGACTGCCCGAGTATTGTACAGTGTAGCGGAGAGGCTGGCAGGAGTGGTTCCCCGCCCGATGGCTTGGGCCCTGAGACGCAATTTGGCGACGGGGTCAATCCAAGAGGTGGACGGAACAACGGGAGGAATAGGAGGAGGAGGAGGAGGAGGAGGAGGAGGTGGAGGAGGAGGAGGAGGTGGAGGAGGAGGAGGAGGAGGGGGAGGAGGAGGAGGAGGAGGAGGAGGAGGAGGAGGAGGAGGAGGAGGGGGGGAAGGGAGGGAGGGAGGGAGGGAGGGAGGAAAGCGAGAGAGAGAGAGAGGGAGGATGAGGGACTGAGGAGGCAAGAGGAGGAGAAGGAGGAGGAGAAGGAGGGGGCAGCGAGGGAAGAAAGAAGGAGGGAGGAGGGAGGGAGGAGGAAAGGAGGGAAGGACTCCCTCGCTGCGGAAGCCGCCCGGCTCCTCGGCCACCAGGGACCGTGCTTCCTGCCTGCGCAACACGTTCAGCATCTCGGGCAGCGGGGCGAGGGGATGGCCAAGCCGACGAGACGAGAAACAACGGGCCCACAGAGCAGGGATGAGACGAAAGTGGCAGATGCAGAGGCGGGGCGAGGGGACAAGAATTGGCGGTGCAACCAGCCCCTGGGCGCACCCGTCGCAACCAAACTGCTCGCACGCCGTGAGCAGCGCAAACTCAACACGCGCTTTGGGATTTCTGCAGCATGCGGCCCGACCGCGCGAGCAGCATGCTCACCGCGCATGCATCGCATGGTCTACGCCCGCGTCGGGCTCATTGCGCGCAGAGCGCGCTCACGCTGTGATCTATCGTCCCCCTGTCCACATGACGAGGTCGGTGCCTAATGGACTCGTCAACTAGTGTACCTTGAGCGCGCAGAGGAACGTCCTACGCATCAAGGCTCATGCAGCCGCGCCGTGGCTGCTAAAAAGGTCGCGGGATTATTTAGTCTGGCGCGCGGGCGCCATAACTTTGTTTGTTTATGGAGTTTATTTTCCGATCAAAGCTCATGCAGCCGCGGCTGCTACAACGGATCGCGGGATGATTTAATTCGCCTGGCGCGCGGGCGCCGGACATTTATTTGTTTATGGAACTTCCTATGAGATCAAAGCTCACGCAACCGTGGCTGCTAGAATGACTGCGGGCTCCTTGCAAGACCCGATGTGCCGAAATTCTGGGAACGCTCTTGGTCGCTTCTGGGCGATCTCGGCGTGTGTGTGTGTGTGTGTGTGTGTGCCGCGTGAGCCAACATTATAGAAGCACCCAGGCAGCAGGCACATGCGATAGGACACCATGCTAGAAGAAATCTAGGGGCATCTCCTTCTTCGAATCTCTAAGCTTCGCAAGGTGCCCCGGGGCTCTGCAGCCCCATCGGGGGATAGGGGATCCCACCAGCCCTCTGGGCGTGAGTGGTCAGGACGCTCGTTCTGCTAACGTTTTTCTTCCCCTTCGGGGAGGTGGTTCCCCCTCCCCCTCCCCCCTCACTCTGGGTTTGGACCCCCCCCCGCGAGGTGTCAGAGAGTCCTACTTGGCCCCCGGTGTCTCCTAGAGGATCCCAGAGAGCCCGAGATGGCCTCCAAGATCACTCAAGATACCCCAAAATGGTCCAAGATAGCCTTCCACATGTCTCCAAGAGCCCTCACGATCGCCCCAGGACGGCTCCAAGTCCCCTCCGAGCCTCCCAAGGAGGCCTCCAAGAAGCCAAACTCATTCAAAACCAGTGTTTTTGTTTAACCATTTCGGCCGTGTCGCGTTTTCGTTTCCGATGGCCTCTTGAGGTCTCAAGATGGCCCCAACATGACCCCAGAGGGCCCCAGGAGGAGCCCAGGATGGCCCCAAGACCAACACAAGAAAGCCCAAGAGCGCCCCAAGAGCGGCCACAAGAGGGCCCAAGTGAGCCCCAAGAGGGCCACAAGAGGGCCCCAAGAGGGCCCCCGAGGCCTTCATAAGGGCCCCAAGAGGCCCAAAAATACCTCCAAGACGCTCCCACCAGAGCAAAGGATCTGCAAAGGCCTGGATGGTTGACTCCTGTCGTCGTCGTTGTCGTCGTCGTCGTCGTCGTCGTCGTCGTCATCGTCGTCGTTGTCGTCGTCGTCGTTCTGTTCGTCGTCGCCGTCCCTCTTTAGTACGCTGCATCCTGCTTCACTTCCCTGATCAAGGAAACTTGCCTGGGCACCGTCACTGAAACTGCCACGGGTTTACCATGTACGCGGTGGTAGGGGACAAACGCCTCCCGCGGCTCCTTGGGTTGAGTGAAGGCTGCCTGTCGTCACTCCCTGCTTGCTAGATGCGCGCGCGTCGTCGGTTTTCGCGCGCCCGAAACAACGCGCGCACGGCGAGCAATGACAGGCAACCGCTCTACCAAGGCGGCCCTGGGTACGCACGACGTAAAACAGGCAACGCACGCACCGACATGCAACCACTCCATCGGGGCAACTCGCCTGGCGTCTGTTTTTGGATGGGCTGCTGGGGATATTTTTCGGTCGCGGCCGCGAGCGAAGAGCGCAGGCGGCAACAGAAGCTGTCCGGGGCACGGAAACATACCTAAGTAGCTGCAGGGCGCGGAACGGGCCGGCCGGGCCAGCTCACAAGGCGGCCGCTGAGGCAGCAGGGTGAGGGCGCTGCTGGGGAAACTTTTTTTTTTACAGCCGCAGGCGGAAGCGCCAGCGGCGGGCGGTCGCGGTCGGGCTGCGGCCGCGACTAACGGCGGGCGCGCGCGAGGCCGCGGTCAGGCGGCAGGCAGCAACGACCCAGGGCGTCAGAGCCAGGCGTGCAATCCAGGGAGTCTGCAGGGCAGCCCCTGACTGCTGGGGAAACGCGACGCGTCAAGAAATATCATGGCGCACCCGTTGGCAGGCCAACTTCTGGGCAATTTGGGCCTCAACGGTTGCGCCGGGACAGGTGCCCAAGACCCTTCCCCCTGGAGGCTTCCAAGTCTGCTGCTAAGGGCCCAGAGGCTCCAAGCGCGTGGCGTGATAGGTCGCGGGCAACATATTTTAAACTGGGCGGCCACACCTCGTACCTCCAGTGGGATCCTTCGTAAATCAATGCGCAATGTCTGCAATAGACAACGGTGTAGCAACGAAGTGGCGTGATCATCTGCGATGCGCGGCAGTGCAGATGCCGTTCATAGACCAAGTGTCCTAAACCAATGTCAAATGCAATCGCGAAATGCACGGGCGCCCAGGTTGCGAGACGTCGCTGCCGTGAGAGCGACCAATGCCTGAAACGTAAGACTGGGAGTGTGCAGACAACAAACCCGAAACGAGAGAGGGCAAGATAAGGATTTGCACGCCAGATGTGTACGATGTCCAAGAGTAGTGCCTGCTCACGTGGAGCAAGAGTAGCCACCCTTCGGAACCCGTCAGTGAACCGTTCTTGTCGTCACAGATGTGCTGCCTGATGGGCCCCGAGTGATAGCAAATGCTGCTCCAGATGGGCAAACAGTGCTGTTGGACATCGTGCCCACCTTTCCTGTCCTGATTCTGGGCGCGCGGAGAGGAGGATTGGAGATATATGGCCAATTCCAGAAACTCCGAATCTAAAACATTGCATCTCTCGGAGGCGCATCGTTCACTTCCGCCGCCTTCCGCCGAGCTTCCGCCGGCGGAGCTGTCCTGGTTTTACTTCCGCCACTTTCCGCCGACATCCCGCCGCCATCCGCCAGGGAAGAGACACCAAACTCTTCGATCCTCGAAGGCGAGGCCTTTCCCGGAGTGCCCCACATGGAGAGGAGGGGGGCCGTTTCTCTGGCGAGGTCGCTGCAACGCACCAGCCGCACCTCACTCTGAGAGGGCCGCAGGACTCCCGACGCCTTGGTCGGCCAAACATCCGCCCCCAAGGGCTGCTGTGCAACGGGTGAGGCCGTGGGTGCGCCTGCATTCGCAGAGACCAGGGGCCCGTCCTGTGCTGCGCCGCATCTGCGGGGGGCCCCTCCTGGCGGGTGCGGTGGACGGGCACGTCGGCCAGCGACGCGGGCGATGCCGCAGTGCCCGAATGAGAAGGGGCCCCGCAATTGGAGGCGGCAGGGGGGTCTGAACTGGATGGGCCCAGAGAAAATCTGCCAAGAAGAGGGGATAAGGGCAAGTCCGCTCAAAATCGGTCCCCGGAACCCTCCGGGGGTCCATCTGGTGCAATCATTGTACCTCGGATCCCTTTGTGACGATCCCAGGGCCCGAGAACGGCTCCGGGAGGCCGAAAAGGGTGAGCAATCTTCTCGAACCCAGAACCTCGAACCACACCCCCCTCTAGCTGGCCGGAGCCAGTGCTAGGCCACCTCAGACCCCCAGCCAACCTTTTACAGAGCCAGCCGTCTGAACGCAATCCCTGCTAGTATTGCCCCTCTCATCTTGCCGTACACGCTACTCACACGCTTCGTGTTTGTCGCGTGTTCGAATGGCTTCACTCTCTCCTGCTCTTACGTCGCCCGTGCTGCATGTTTTGATCTCAAGTGCTGCATGCCTGGACCTATCAATCTGGGATTGGGGGTGGGCGTGCGCCGGTGCAGTCGGGCTGCTGAAAGAAGGAACGATAGGTGAGCGACGATCAAAAGCGGGTCTTGCGCGAGATGACGCAGCGACCTCACGCCGCGGCTTACGCAGGCCGCCAGCGCGGCACGCTACATTGGAGACGAGGGCGCTTACGCGCGACCTTACGCGGGCAGTCTACGCGCTAATGTCGGCGCAGACGACCTCTTTTTGGGGCGTCGCTCAAATGAAGACGGAACACTGTTTTGGCCTCCGAAAAACGCCTGCGTGCACGAGGAGACTTAGAGGCACAGCCACGGAAGGGCCTGAGGAACATCGAGCCCACATCCGAACCCAAACTGCTCATTATTTCAGCGTCTTGACTGCATGGCTACCTTTTCCCGAGAAGGGGATCGACTACAGAATTGATGTACCCCAGCATTGATCTGTGTCAGTCGAATCTGCGAGTAGCACGTTCATACATCTGCGAACATCCTGCGTCTCCCTTCCGTAGGTTCGACGAAGATTCCAATTCTGGGTGATATCAATCCTGTAGTCGATCTCCTACAGTAGGACCTGGGCCAGAACAACATCCTTCAAGGACACGAGGCCCGCCGCCGGCCAACACAGACAGAACATCCAAGGGTACCCTCCCCCCCAGGATGCACAAGAGCATCCAGGACACACGGAGAACACCAGGGCACCCTCCCCGAACCGACCTCGATCCTATACCTCGGTCCGACTGCATCGCACGCTGGCCAAAGCTCATTCGCAGGAGTACCCACCGCGGGTCAAGGGGGCAAGACTGGCCACGGCCTGGGCACCCTGCCACGTCGTCCTGCCGACGGCCGCGGCCATCACCCTCCTGGAGTCCCGTGCGGACCCCTTGCGGATATTCTTGGTTACGACGGCAGGCTTGGACACGACAGCATGCATTCGGTACGCATTTGCGCAAACCTGAGGAACTGGATGATATTGGGAAAAAAAACCCGGTCCGACTGCCCTCGACCTCCGCCCCGAGCCGCGGCGCGGGGCGCTCCCGGCCTCGGCCCGCCCGCGTGGGCCGCAGGGGGGGGGGGGGGGCCGGCCGGCGCGACGCCTCTCCGCCGTCGGGGGCCCAAAGGGAGCCCGTGGTTCCTCTCGGGCCCTCGGGGGGCCCTGGCGCCGCAGGGGGGGGGGGCCCGGGCGGCGCGGCGCCTCTCCGCCGCTGGGGGCCCAAGGGAGCCCGTGGGTCCTCTCTGGGCCCTCGGGGGGCCCTCGCCTGCGCCGTCCCCTGGAGAGGCCCGCCATCGCGCGGACGTCCCTTCCCCGTGTTTTTGCGCGGCGTCGCGCGCGTTTTTTTTTTTCCCCGCAGGATGGTCCAGGACGCTCCTGGATGGCCCTCGCCGAGAAAAAGCAGTGCACACGTCTGAGCGACGCCGAGGAGGCGGAGAGGTGCCCCAGCTCGCGGCTCATGGCCAGAGGCACGGCCGCGGTCCCAGTTGGGGGGGGGGTGTTAGCGTTGACCAGCGTGTGGTAGTCGATGGGATAGCGCCGATCTGGCGTCGACTCGCGGCGTCGAGTAGCGTCGAGTTCGCGTCGATTTGGCGTCGATTTGGCGTCGATCAGCGTCGAGTCGCAAGAGCGAACAAGACGGCATTGGAGGCTCCAGAGCGCTGCCACAGGAAGAAGAGGGGGCCGTGAAATCCGGGGGGATGTCATGGCCTCTGCCATGATACCCCCCCTGGCATCTCCCTCCCGCCCCCCTCTTGCACTGATGGGGAACGATAGGGGGGACCAGCTCAGGAAGGGATACCTCGAGCTGGAATCGGCGATACATCGCCGACAGATCCGCGCTAGGCCCCCGATAGCAAATGCGCACGTTCCTGGGCGGGGTGTGCCAGTTGCCGGGCCCCCCTCGGCGATCCCTGGGCGATTGGGGGGTCGATGCACTCCCCTCGGAGGCGATCCCCGTCACCAATGGCCTTCGGGTCCTAACTCGGGCCTCCGGAGGCTGTCCGGGTCGATCCCGGCACCCCCAAAACGCCCTCGGCGAGGAGCTGCTGTTGACGAGCACCAGGAGGCTGGAAAACGGCCGAGGTCTGACGAAAACGCAGAGAAACGTCGAGCCTGTGGCCTACCCCGCCGCCCTCGTTGCCTCTGACCCCTGACCCCCTCTTGCGCGCCCCCGAGAGCAGGGTGAGAGGCGAGAGGCCAGGGATGCTCACTGCAGCGCGCAGCCTCTGCTGCCCCCTCGGGGGCTGCCTGCGCGGCGCCGCCGCAGAGGGATCGGGGAAGAGGGGCCGTGGAGGTGCTGCGTAATGAGGGGAGGCGGGAGGGAGGAGAGGGCGGGGCACAGTCAACCCATTGTAGGAAGGATGCGCGGAAAGGATGCCGAGGCTCTTCGAGCGGTGCTGGCCATCGAGAGTGGTTGAGGATGGGCCGAAGAGGCGAGGATGCAAGTGTACCATTGGGAAATCGGTTGACTGTATGGGGGAGGCGGCCGAGGAGAAAGGCGGAGAAGGACACGACACGATACGATACGAGTCGACAACGACTGGGGCCACGTGTCTCTCTTGTCTCACATGTGCAGCTGCTCGTGCCATGAAACTCGCGTAGGGAGGTTGATATATCTCAACGTATGGAGAAGGAGGAGGAGACTGAGGAGGAAGATGGAGGAGAAGGACGGAGGAGCAGGGAGGTGGGAGGAGGAGGAGGAGGAGGAGGGTGAGGGGAATTAAGAGGGAGGAGGAGGAGGAGGAGGAGGAGGAGGAGGAGGAGGAGGAGGAGGAGGAGGAGGAGGAGGAGGAGGAGGAGGAGGGGGAGCCGATCTGTGAGGATCCACAGGAAGGACCCTCTCCAGAATCGGCGCTTTCGTTGGCAACACCCCAGTCGACATGCAGGTGCGGAACATGAAGGTGCGTGCAGTCGGGATGCGAGGGACGAGGATTGGGATGGGGAGGGATGATGATGGTGGTGGTGGTGATGATGAGGATGATGTTGATAATGGGGATGACACGGGAGCGGGAGAGAGGGATGGATGAAAGAGGAATACACAAACCTACGCAGATACTAATAAGAATCCGCCGGCCCCCTTGTGGGGGCACCAGGCTGTAGGCGCGGGTTCGCAGTTTCCTGTGCCAGTTGTAGCTTGTAGTTTCCAGTGTTACAGTTCTGCTTCTTGCTGGTTACTGTAACTAGTTGATTGACAGCGCGAGGGGGGGGGAGGCCCAAACCAGATTTTTAGCGTCTCCTGGGCGTGTTGTCTGAATTGCTGGGGGAGTTCGAAATCAACACCCCTCACGCAGATCCGCGGGGTCAGGGTCCAATAACACAGGGGATTTGCCACATTTCTGAAATTCGGTGCCACCCCTCACGCAGATCCGCGGGGTCAGGGTCCAAAAACACAGGGGATTTGCCACATTTCTGAAATTCGGTGCCACCCCTCACGCAGATCCGCGGGGTCAGGGTCCAAAAACACAGGGGATTTGCCACATTTCTGAAATTCGGTGCCACCCCTCACGCAGATCTGCGGGGTCAGGGTCCAAAAACACATGGGATTTGCCACATTTCTGAAATTCGGTGCCACCCCTCACGCAGATCCGCGGGGTCAGGGTCCAAAAACATAAGGGATTTGCTACATTTCTGAAATTCGGTGCCACCCCTCACGCAGATCCGCGGGGTCAGGGTCCAAAAACACAAGCCACATTTCTGAAATTCGGTGCCACCCCTCACGCAGATCCGCGGGGTCAGGGTCCAAAAACACAATGGATTTGCCACATTTCTGAAATTCGGTGCCACCCCTCACGCAGATCCGCGGGGTCAGGGTTCAAAAACACATGGGATTTGCCACATTTCTGAAATTCGGTGCCACCCCTCACGCAGATCCGCGGGGTCAGGGTCCAAAAACACAGGGGATTTGCCACATTCTGAAATTCGGCGCCACCCCTTACACAGATCCGCGGGGTCAGGGTCCAAAAACACAGGGGATTTGGCACATTTCTGAAATTCGGTGCCACCCTTCACGCACATCCATCGCAAGGCGTGGTAACCCAAACTGCGAGAACTCCCTCGGCCCTTTAATCGCAAGGTGTGGTAACCAAGCCCGTAAACCATACACGTCTTACCAATCGCCAGGTGTGGTAACCCCTCTTGTGATCAGTTGGTTTTGCTGATTGCGAATCGGCTTCGCATGAAGTTTCGATACTGCTTCACGACAGCGCCAAGGCCTCATGACTTTGCTCTTCCATGGCCCATTCTCCGAGAGAGGGGGCCGGCGGCAGGGGGCGAAGCCCTTACGGATAATCGAGACCTCACGAGCTGGGTCCGAGTACATGGGGTTCATGAGCACGTCGTATCGCCGATGCATCGGCGACGTTGGCGTGGAGAGAATCGGGATCCACATCGGCTGGGCGCTCCGACAGGGAGAGAGAACCTCCACCCAGAGGGGCACGATCGAAGGCGAAGAGGGCGGGTACGCTGAGCTGTTTAATAAGCGTGGGGGGCCCGATCGCGCGAGTGTGCGGGGATGGGCTGTCCTTCGCAGGTCGTGGGGGCGGGGGGATCGCTCGAGGGGGTGGGCCCGGCGTGCGAAAGGGGGGGGCGGACTGAAACAGGCCGCCGGGCGGAGTGGCACAGGGAGTGTGCTGAAAGACGAAGCGAAGGTCTGCGGTGCCGGTGCTGAGCGGCACGCGAAAAGAGCAAGAGCGCAGCACAAAAATAAGATGCTGACGCGGAGTTCTCACTCTTGTAAAAAAGCATGCTTGATGATCGCGCTGGCCGATGCTCATTGTTTTTCAGTGGAGCGGCGCTCGTCGACGCTCGCACCTGGTCCTTTAGTTGGGGTTGGCGCTGGACCTTCAAGTGCCCCCCAAGACTGCCACGACGGCTTCCGCCTGAGGCCTCCTCACGACTTAGCCAGGAATCGCGCTCTCGCTCGAGGCTTCCTGGCACTTTACGCGGGGATCGCGCTCTTGCCTGCAATCTCCTTGTGCACCATCTGCGCACGAACGGCGCGGTCTCGCCGCCCAGGCGTCGTGCTCTCGCCCTGGGAGCTTGCTCAGGAACTGCATCCCCGCCAGAGAACCGCCCCCCCGAGCCTCCGGGCCCTCCGAAGCCCCCCTGTTCTGTTTCCAGGAAGTGCATCGGCTACACGCAAGGAGTGGCCCTGGGTAAGAGTGACCCTTCTGATGCGCGGCTTTTTTGGACCGCGGGGGGGCCAAAAACAAGCGCGCGAGCCGCTGCTACCGCTTCTCTTTCGGCCATCTGGGGGCCCATCTGTGCCCGCACCAAAGGTCACTCTGGCGAAAGGGCACTCTTACGCCTAGTCGAATCCAGGGAGTCCCGTAACGAACTCCAAAACGGCGCCCTCGCGAGGAACATCCTCAGAGACTTCTCTGCAAATTGTGCAAGAGTCGCACGTTCGCCGGGACCTCCCGAGCAGCTCACGCAGGGATGGCGCCCTCTCGCCACTCGAGAATCGTGCCCTCGCCTCCTCACAGGGTCCTCAGGCCGTTCCATGAGATCCTCCTCCTCCTCCTCCGCCTCCTTCTCCCGCCTCCCCCTTACGCTCTGTGGGAGGCCTCGCCACTGCTCGGACGTTCATTCCCCGTGCATGTTTCGATGTCGTGCGCTTATTTTTTCGCAAGACGGGCCAAGATGCTCGTCGATGATCCCCGCCGAGAAAAACGCACACGTCCGAGCGATGCCAAGAGCCATGAGTGCGGCACCCGCTAGCCCGCGGGGATCACGGGGCTCAGGTGAAGACGCGTCTGTGCCACCGAACGAACGTTCTGTCCGAAGGCCATTCTGGGCGCGAAAGGGTCAGTCAATCACGCCTTGGACGATCCCACCCAGTGCGGCGTCTGCCCGCACTCGGCGATCATGAGGCTCTCAAGAGCTACCGCGCGCGGGAAATCTGCGTGAGAATGAGCGGGCGTGAGGGAGTGATAGCACGAGTGTGCATGAATGAGTATGGGCCTGGCTACCTGTGGGTTAAGTGCCAGTGATCACGAGCTGGCGTCATCAGCATCCGAAAGATGGTGAGCACGATGTTGAGTGCGTGAGTGTGAGCGGGTGCGAGCGTGATAAAGGAAAGGTGCATACAGGAAGAAGGGATGCGGAGGGAGGAACGGGGAAGGAGGCGCACTCATTATGGCAAGAACTCGATGCTTACAGTGTCTGGAAGTATTCGCACATATAACCTCCTCCTCCTCCTCCTCCTCCTCCTCCTCATTCTCCTCCTCCTCCTCCTCGCATACATAACCCTCCTCCTCCTCCTCCTCCTCCTCCTCCTCATTCTCCTCGTCCCCCTCGTCCTCCTTCTCTGGTTGCGGCCTGCCACCGGCGGCGGCGCCACAGGCACACTAGGACTCCGCGCGTAATCTCTGGTACTGCCCGAAGAGAAGGTCGTAGTGCCCTGGCCCCTCAGCTGGAACTCCCTGGAAGCGGGCGCAGGAGCCGTCTTTAGGGAAAGGTCGAGCTTGGAGAGGACCAGTGCGGTGACATAATGTGGATGACACGAGTATCACGAAGCAGCAGGTGCTACCAGGGCACGCGATGAGAGTAAGGCTGTGCCCCATTGGCTCCATCCACCCACAATGCGGCTTTTGCAGGCCACTTTCCAGTTTTCCGTGTCGTGCCCCCGCGAAGGAATCCGAGCACGGCCACCGAGAGGATCGGTTATGCTGCGGGCGCGTGGCCGCGATCACAACCACGAAGGACCCCCAGCCGCCAGCCCGCCGTCGCCCTGGAGCTCCTGCATGGTTCGAGTACGGTCACGGCGCTGCCAGAAGGAACGTTCAATCCGGAACGAAGGGGCTGCTCTGGCCACGGCGAGCGGCAGCCACGAATTGGCTCCCCGGCCTAGACCGAAGGAGACCGGCCCGAAAACCCGAGCCCCTCCTGAGCCCAAAGCGGTCCTCGTGTCAGCGCCTCGGCTTTGAGCTTTCGGAGCTCCGCGCGGACCTCTTGAATCCGCGCTGGACCCCCCTCCCCGGCGCGCCATGGCCCCGGCGCCGCAAGGGGGGGGTCCCGGCGCAGCCGCGAGAGATCCGCGCGGACCTCCAACAGCTCCTGTTTGCGCTGTGCTCTTTTGTTTTTTCCCCGGGGAGTGAGAGGAGGCGAGCGGGCATCCCAGCGACGGCCTCCACAAGCGGCGCGGAAGAAGACAGGCGGTGCGGAACATGCGGCAGCTCTCGTTTGTGTTTTTGCTGCTCAAGTGTGAAGAAAACGAGGCCCGAAGGAGGCCACAAGAGGTCCCCAAGCGGCCCCCAAGAGGCCTCAGAACTGCCTCCAAGAGATCCCCGAGATGCCTTCCACGAGATCCCAACAAACATCCACTAGGCTTCATACCCACAGCCCAGGAACGTTGGCGGGACTTGCCGTAGGCAGCTGGATCCGCCGCCCCCTGTTGCTTGCAAAAGGGGTGCCTGGCGTGCTGAACCCTCTCAGTTTTGGTATTGGCTCTTTTCCAAAAGAACTCCCCCTGGGCCTCCGGCGCGTTCCGCCGGCCACCCAGAAAGATTGCCAAGGACCGCAATCCGGGAACAAATCCTCCAAAATGGTCCAAGATGGCCACGTTGGCCCTAGACGGCCTCCAAGATGGTCCAAGATGGCCTCCAAGTCCGCCCAAGATGGTCCTTGACGGCCTCCAAGACGGCCCAAGAGAGTCCAAGATACATCCAAGGTCGCCCGAGAAGCCTCCAAGACGGCCCAACACGACCCAAGAAGCCTCCAAGAGGCCCTCCAGAAGGGTCCGAAGAGGCCAATATCCTTGATTTTCCATACGTTTTGAAGGATTTGGGCATGTGCTTCTTCTCGGCATTCCGACGGCTCAAGACGGCCCAAGAGGCCCCAAATATCGCCCCAAGATCGCCCAAGAGGGCTCCAAGAGGGCCCCTTGATGGCACAAGAGGCCTCCAAGACGGCCCCAAGAGGGCCCGAAGACGGCCCAAGAGACCTCCAAGACGCCCAAGATGGCCTCCACGACGGCCCCGAAGCGCCCCAAGAGGACCCCGAGTCGGTTCAGAGCGGCCCCCAAGACGGCTCCCGACGGCGTCAGACGGGCCAGGAGCCCACCAAGATGGCCGAAGTTGGCTAGAAGCTGGCCCAAGACGGCCCAAGAGGCCTCCAGAAATGTCCAAAAACACACTTTCCGCGTAGGTTTTTGAAGGATTTAGACATTTGCTTCTTTTCGGCCTTCCGACGGCCCGATACGGCCCAAGAGCCCCCAAAGATCGCCCAAAGGTCGCCCAAGATGCCTCCAAGATGGCCCCAGAAGGCCCAAGAAGCCCCCAAGACAGCCCCAAGAGGCCCCCAAGACGGCCCAGGAGGCTTTGAAGACGCCCAAGATGGCCTTCAAAACGGCCCTGGAGCATTCCAAGGACCCCAAGTCGGCTCAGAGAGGCCCCCCAAACGGCTTCCGACGGCGTCGGACGGGCCAGGGGCCCACCAAGACGGCCGAAGATGGCACTAAGATGGCCCAAGACGGCCCAAGAGGCCTCCAAGAGGGCCTCCAGGAAGGCCCGAAAAGGCCCAAATCATTTATTTCCAATAAGTTTTTGAAGGATTGTGGCATTTGCTTGTTTTCGGCCTTCCGACGGCCCGAGACGGCCAAAGTGCCCCCAAAGATCGCCCAAGAGGCCCAAGACGGCGCCAACATGCCCCCAAGAAGGCCCAAGAGGCCTCAAAGACGCTCAAGATGGCATCCAAGACGGCCCAAGAGCCCTCCAAGACGTTCTCCAAGAAGGCCCGAAAGGGTCAAAATGGCCTCCAGGCGGCCACGATGACCTTCAAGATGCCCACGTGTTCCCCGGGCTCTCCCAACCGATTCGGGGAACACATGGTCCGATAGCTTGGCAGGTCTGGCCTCACCGTTCGGCCACATAGGCGCTTCCAAAAAGGCAGGGGGCGGCGATGATTCGCCGTAGGCGTCTTCGATAAACAACTGTAACGGAAAACTGAGATCGGTTCAAGTGTGATTAAAATTGTGTTCGGTTCAACTGTTCTGTAGCATAGTTTTTGTTATCACACTGGATCAGAATTTGTTCAATCACACTTGCACCGAATCTAGCGCCACTTTTGAAACGGGCACTGTTCTTTAGGTTGGTTCACTTCTCCGAATGGTGCAATCCGCTGGCGCCCTCCCGCAAAGCCCACGGACATGTTCGCCGCACGTGAGACACGCCCAAAGCCCTGCCGAGTAAGGGTTGGACAGAACCCCCTTTCGGGAGCGGCCAAGAGGGGGGTGTCCAAGAGGGGGGGTGCAAATCATGACCAGCGGCATGTGCGCGGCCCAGCGGGGGGGCCAGGGACGTAATGAAATAAGAAGAGGCGCCGTGAAATCTGGGGAAAACTCATGGCCCGCGCCATGATATCCCCTCCTGCCCTAGTCATCCCCCCCCTCTTTTCCGCCCCCGACCCTTTAGTGAGACACCCCTTCACAGAAACCGCCAAGGACCACATGAGGCGACGGGCCCAGGGCCCGCGAGCAGCGCGGCCGCACCGCCCTCGCGAGAGTTCGAACCGGGCAGTCCGCGGATCGACTTGGCAGGGGGGAAGCTCTGTCGGCCTCCGACGAAACGACGCCGACGACCTCGATCTTGGACCTTCCACCATACAGTCGGGGCGTTGACCTAAGGAACCCTAAATAAGGAACGAGGCCCCTTTTTGTTCCACAAGTTAAACTTCGATTTCCCATCGAAAACATAAGGAAACCCTGAGGCAAGCTGCGAAACAATCAAGGAACACGGAGCCCCTCCCCAACGAAAAGGGTTCCTTCTTCAGGGCCCCGACTGTACGGCCAAGAACTTTTTTCGTAGCGGCGTGGTTGTTGGCGTGTCGCGCCGAAGCATGGTGGGCCAGAACCGGCGGCGCGACACGCCAAGCCAGAGACCCTGACCGTCTCGGCCTGCGACATGACGACGCCGACCAGACCCGATCTTCGACTCTGCACCTGATATCTTCGCCTCATGGGCCGATGGGGCCCCACCGGAGCGAGCCCAAATGCAAAGCTCGGGGAGACGTGAGACTCGGGTTCGGGAGACTCGGGTCAGCCTGACGGGGCCGCCAGGAACATGGAGACCCAGTCTGACATTTGATGCGAACTCCCGCTGCAAACACCCCACGAAAACTGGACCGTCAAAACTCAGGCTGTGCCCGTCGAAAAGCATCGGCAAACCCGAGTTCCGCCGATCTCGAGTCTTACGGTCAGGAGCTATTGCATAGCGTGTCACGGCGGCGGCCCTGGCCACACGCCTTGCCTTGCAAGCGGATCGCTTGTCGCTTCGCTCCGCGGGCAGGGAGGCTTGGAAAGGCAGGGGACGTTGAAGCCTGAGGACTGGGAGATGGATAGCGTGTCGTGCCGAAGCGTGGTGGGCCAGAACCGGCGGAGCGACACGCTACAGTCACGCTGCTGCAGTCAAGATCGCTAGATGGCGGATTCTGGAAACCCTGAAACCCTGAAACGTTGTCGCCTCTGGGCTGCGCATCTGTTTTCCGCCGCCTTCAATCGGCCTTCCGCCGGCTTCCGCCAGCGGAGGCCTTGTTTTACTTCCGCCGCCCTTCCGCCGCCTCCCGCCGAGGAAGAGGTGGCACCTCCTTCGATCCTCGAAGGCGAGGCCATTCCTGGAACGCCCCAGAAGAGCCCTGAAGCCCATTTTTGAAAGCATCGGCAAGCCCGAGTCTCACGCTTCCCCCATAGAAAAATCGCCCTCCTCGCGCTCTTCTGGCAGATGGCCCGCAGCTCCGGCACCGAGTCCTTCCACGTGCGCCCCTTGCAGAAGACGCCGAGGGCCTGGAAGCCCCAGCGGCCGCCTCGGCGTGGCCGCGCCCGGGGCGCGGGGGGGGCGGCGGGGAGGCGAGGAGCGCCACCTGCGCGTCCGAGCGCGCCGAGGCAGCCAGCGAGGAGGGCCGGGGGCAAGCGGGCGAGAGAGGCGCGCAGAGCGCGGCGAGCGGAGCAGCTCGGCGAGGGAGAGCACGCGAAGCTGGACGCAGGCCCTGGCCATCGCTCGGACGTCCATTTCCTGTGTTTTCTTCGGTTTCGTGCGTGGTTTTGTCGCAAAATGGTCGAGGATGCTCCTCGAAGGTCCTCGCCGAGAAAAAAATGCACAAGTCCGATCGATGCCAGGAGGCCACGGATACGGAGGACAAGGCCAGCAGCCGGCCTCGTCCTGAGCAGGGGGGCGGCCTGGGGCCTCGCGAGTGGGGAGGAGTGGGGAGGATGAGGCGGGAGGGGAGCCGCCGCTCCCAAGCCCCTCCCCCTCCTGTCCTCCTCCTCCTCCTCCTCCTCCTCCTCCTCCTTGCCCTCCTCCTCCTCCTCCTCCTCCTCCTCCTCCTTGCTCTCCGCCCGCTCCAGCACAAGCCATGTCGGACCTCCGCGGGCGGTCTCTCCGCCGGCGCCCGACGCCCCTCCCCGCGCCGCCCCCCCCGGCGCGCGAAGTGCGCCAGGGGGATGCGGGGCGGGTGTCGGGCGCCTGCTGAGGAGCTGTCTGCGGCGCCTGCTGAGGAGCCGCGTGCGTTTCCAATCCTCCGCGACTGCTTCCCACAACTCCGACGGTGTGACTTGGTCGGTTCTGGGAGCCCTGGGACCGAAAAATATTGCGATCTCTCTGGGGCGCATGTTTTACCCAGCCGGACTTCCGCCGTCCTTCGGCCACCCTCCGCCGCCCTTCCGCCGCCTTTCCGCCGAGGAAGAAGAGATGATAACGCCTTCGACCCTCGAAGGCGAGACCCTTTCTGGAACGCCTTGTTCGCACCGTGGGCCCCTGGATGCTGTGACCCCTTCCTTGGGGCCAGCTTTTCATCCCGAGTCGTTCTTTGGCAGTCCGTGGGGCCCGATGAGGGCCCCCAGAGGCCGAACCTTTTCCAAAAAAATTGGCCTTGATATATTTGGCACAGCAATTAGGTGGGGGTTCTGCTCGCCCGGGATCTCCTGGTTCACGGAACAGGCGGGCGATCGCAAGCCCGCTCTCGCCGAGGCCGTCCCGCAGCACGTATCTCGCGAGCTCGGAGCCCTCCTGCCCGGGTGCGCTGGGCGGAGCGTCATCGTGTGGACTGCCCCCTTCACCTCTCGAGTTATGGTGTCTCAGGGTGTTCGTGTACCGCTTGATGGGGGCACGAGGTTGGGCTGGGGCCCTGCTGGGGAAATACGGAGGGAGGCAGGGGAAGGAGGAAGAATACGAGCCATCTGAGCAGGCACAGGAACATACCCTCCTGAACGACTTCCCCCACAGGACATCTGATCGCTGTCCGAAGTGCCAAAGATGTCTCGCCATGAAGCAAGCGGTGACCTCTGGGCTTCTGTGGCTTTCCCAAAGGCGGGCCTCGAACTTCTGGAAAACTTACCTGTGGCCTTCACAGGCTTCGGGCACGAGCTGCGTAGGCCTTCTCTCTGGCGCACGGCCTGGCATTTGGATTGCCCCTCTCCTGGTCCATGATGCGGCAGAAGGCGTTGGACACCTGGGCCAATATCATGGGAGGCGCTCTTCGACTCAAGAATCTGCAGCTCGTCTGCAATTTAAAGCATGGCGCGCCCCACTGCTAGTGTCCCTGTCCGCCCACTCCTTCGGTGTTGTGAGCATCCTCTCGCTGCCCTCCCAATCTCAGCAGCATATCCAAGTCAGATCAACGCTTGCAATCATGTTTTCGGGGATCGGGCTGAAGATCACAATTCAGAAGATTGCTTTGGTAGCTTGGCCCTTCAGCGCTTTAACTCGTCACTATTTTGTCCAAGCCCAATCGCAAGTTCAAGCCCACGCCACGACCAGTCCTGTGACCACTACGACGGCAGCATCTGGCGAGTCTATTCTGACACATGGCCAGATGATCTGAATGCAACCCTGATTCCACGTGTCACAAGCCACCATGACTCATGGGGATCGAATGTCGATCGCGCGATCACATCGATCCGAATGCTCGGTCGGGAACAGAATCAGGGCAAAGCGTCATCACACGATCACGGGACCGGATCGTTGTGATGAGCTCGCAACTCTGCATTGCACTTGTGATTGGTACCACTTTTTACACTGGAGAAGGCCTTCGAAAGGCCGTGTGGATCAACAGCAAATCAATCACGATGACGTGGGGCACGCATGCAACAGATCTACGACGATGTCGCAACATGGGCATCCAAGGGGAGCAATCTCTTGGGAGGCCGTGCTCCATGTTCCTCAGGTCCCCGATCGCGCGCGAAGCTGCGCGTTCGCCACGCTGGTGGAATGGGGCCCGCAAGCTCAGAACTCCGACGCCATATGCTTTTTGCTCGCAACGCGCACCTCTGGAGGCCCACGCCCCTTCCCCTGGGCCAACCTCTCATCCCGGGCCGCACGGGCCCCGGTGAGGACCCCCAGAGGCCGAAGCCAGCCAAAGGGGGAGGAGCTGCGGGATTCTCCGTGGCCAGCGGAAGAAAACGATAGAACATCTGACCAATGACTGCACAACGAGCTCCTCGAGTACGATGTTCCATCCACCCATCTCGTCACAAACCTCCCGCCGTGATTTTCGCTGCGAGGGCAGCGGGGGAGGCCTGTGCCCCAAGTCCTTCCTGGGCCGCCCCGCCGCGGTGAGCCCCGGCGTCGCCCGACGCCCCGGGCGTGCCCTGGCGCCCAGATTTGGCACGCCCGCAGTGGGCACGGTCAAGCTGCTGCAGTAAGGAACTCCAGATGTCGCCGCGCCGTTTGACGCCGCCACCACGGCAAACCCACGGCAAGTCCTGCGTCCCGCGCCCAAGCAAACGAAACTGACACCGCGGCGAACGAACGGCAAACCCACCGCGTCCGAGGCGGCGTTAGCCCTGGTGGCCGCGGGGCCCTCCCCTAGACGCCAGGCCGTGCGTCGGAACAAACGGCGCGGCGACAAATGAGGAACGACACCCTTTTTGGCACCAAACGAGCCTGGGTGCACGACAAGAGCTGGAGGAACAAGCACGCAACAAAAACGAGCCGCTTCCGAACGCAAAACGGTCATTCATTTCAGCGCCTTGACTGTACGGAAAAAGTGGGTACGATGCCCAACAGCACGTGTTGCCCAAAACCGGCCGCGGCCGCTGTTTTGCATGCGCACTTGTGTCTCAAACGGGGAGCGCCCGCGGCGACACGGACAGCGAACTGCTGTTGGTCTTCGCCCCCATGCTTTATGTACTCCGGATGGCGTAATCCGCTGACCCCCGCTTGCCGGGGGTGAGAAGGCGTGTGAGACATTTGGCTGTCCCCCTCCCCCTTCCCCCCTCCCCTGGGGTCCAAAATGCTATTCTAGGGGAGGGGGAGGGCGAGCTAGTCAACGCACCCCTGGGGCATCTGGAGCCCCCATGAAGCCCCAAGGCAGCCCAACAGGGCCCAGACAGAGCGCCAGGACCGTCGAAGAGAACGTCATGACGGCCCAGGGCAGCCCCTGGAAGATCCAAGATGGCTTCAAGATGGCCCACGAGGCCCCCAAGGCATCGCCGAGAGGACCCCAAGAGGCCCAAATCATCCCATTCCATTTGGGAAAAAAACATGTTTAGCATATTCGCACTTTACGTCTTGACAGCGAACACGATGGCCCAAGTGGCTCCCCAAATCGTCCGAATATGGCACGTGATGCCCCCAAGAAGGCCCTAAGACGGCCTAATAGGGCCCAAAGACAGCTACAGGGGCCCCCCAAGAGGGCTCCAAGAAAACCCAAGAGGGGGAATACGCGCCGACGAGCCTTTCCCACCGAGATGGCCCCTCGATCCCCCCAGAGGCCCCCGAGGGCCCTCCAAGAGGCCCCAAGAGGCTTCCCAGACGCCCCCCAAGAAGCCCCCCAGAGGCCCCCATGAGGCCCCCCCAAGATATTCCAAGAGGCCACAGGGAGGCATCAGAGGAGACCGTCAGATTCATCCAGGAGGCTCCGGCTCCAGGATTTGACTTCCGCGATCGTCTGACACACTCACTCCTTGTGGAGGTCGGCGGAATGGCGCAAGCCACTTGAATCCGCCCGCCCACCGGGCTGATGGGCGTGTGGGATTCAAATATGAGAGCTCCTGGCAATGCTTTCGTCCCCCCCCTAACCCTCCCCGGAAGCGTGCGCCGTTCCGCCGCCGGGCTGCGCCCAGGCCCCTTGTCAGTCCCCAAGACGCCTCCGAGACGGCTTCCAAGACGAGCTCGCTTTTCAGATCGTTCTGAAGACGCCTCCGGGGCGCTTTGTGGCTCTATTTCGGCCCCGTCGGGGTCCCTGCTTGGCCTCCAGAATCCGCTCCCGGGGCCCTCGAGAGCGCCTTTGTGGCTCGCCCTCGTCGAAAAGCTGGCATGTCAAAAAGTATCGCAAATACTACGTCTGGTTGTTTCACGACTTGCGCTTCCCCGGGGGTAGCCTGGACGCTTCGTACAACTGCCTTCCCGGCTCGTCTGGGATATTTTTCATCTTTCAAATTTGGACGCTGTTTTTGGGCGCACTCCGGGGTCCACTTGAGAAGATTCGGGGGCCCACTTGGGCCCCAAAACGAACCCAAAACAGCCTAGAACAGGACCGGTTTTAACCGGAAGACGGACGTGACGGGCAAAGAGGCCGCCACGAAGGCCCCAAGACGACCCAAGTGGGCCCCCAAACAGCCCAAGAGGGCCCCAAGACGGCCCAAGAGGGCTCAAAGATCGCCCCAAGTCGGCCCAAGAGGCCGCCAAAAAGGCCCCAACATTGCCCAAGAGGGTCCCAAGGCGGCCCAAGAGGCCCCTGGGACGGCCCAAGAGGGGCCCAACAGGAGGAGCCCGAACAAACTTTTCGAGCCCTCCGTCCCAAGAGGCCCCACAGGAGGCCCCAAGAGCCCAAAGCAACCCCAAGAGGAAGCCCGAAGACGCCCCCGACAGGCCCAGAAGAGGTCCAGATGGGTCCCTGCTTGGCTCCTTTTAGGCAGCGTTCGGGCCGTTTCTGGTTGATCTTGGGCAGTGTTCGGGCTATTTCTGGCCTCCTGCTGTGGATGATAAACGAGGGCCCCAAGAGCCCACGTCCACATCACTGATCCGTTGGTACTGACGACGGGACGGCGACCAAACGGCAAATCTACGATCGATCAGCCACGCGGCATGCCTGAGCCTGACGGGCTCTGGGTTTTTTTGGAACGAAAATGGAGCGCAGGCAAAAAACAACTAACCACACCTGCAAAGGGGTCTTGTCTAATTTTCTGCATGTGCTCATGCCGTACAATAACTAGTGGAGCCGTCTTCGTCTCGTCCGGCGAGAACTGGAGTGGGCGGGCGGTGAACGCGAAGCGTCTTGAATTCGCCAGCCCAACGGGCCAAGGGCGTGCTAAGATCTCGGGTAACTGGTCAACAATATTCTAGTTCGCGCGCGCGGGGCCGCCCCTGGGGGTCCCCCGACGAAAAGTACCCCGGGACACCCTCGGGACACCCCCGCGACACTCGGATCAGAGCTGCCAGACCGGGCAATTTTCCGACACCCCTCACGAGAATCGTGGCCTCCGAGGGGAGGGGCGCAATCGACTAACCCCCCCTCCTGACCCAAGAGGTCCCCAAGACTGCCCAAGAGGCCCCGAGACGCCCAAAGAGCGCTCCAAGACGCCGATGATGACCCCAAGACGGCCCAAGACTCACAAGAGGGCCCGAGAGGCCAACATCATCAATTTTACGATGGTTTTGGAAGGATGTTGGCCTTGTCGCTTTTTCGGCCATCCGATGCTCCAAGACGGCCCAAGAGGCCCCCAAGAGCGCCCCAAGACGAGCCAAGAGGCTTCCAAGAGGGCCCCAAGAGGGCCCAAGAGGGCCCCGAGACGGTCCAAGAGGCGCCCAAGACGGCCCAAGACGGCCCCAAGACGGCCCCAAGAGGGGACCACGAATGGAAAACTCAAGCCTTCCGCCCCAAGAGGGCCCCAGGAGGAGGCCCTGAGAGGCCCCCAAGAGGCCCCCAAGAGGCCCCAAGATGCCGCCAAGAGGCCCCAAGAGGCCCCAGGAGGCCCCCAGGACGCCAAAAAGAGGGCCCAAGAGTCCCAAAAGTTCAAAAATGCCTCCCAGGCGCCCCCGAATGGCTTCTCAAAAGACCCCAAGAGGCCTCCCAAAGAAGCATCTTGACGACGACCCTGTTTGGCCCCAAGAGCAACACAAGATGCCAACGAGAGGCTTCCAGCTCCGCCCCTTCCCCTTCCTCCTCCTCCTCCTCCTCCTCCTCCTCCTCCTCCTACTTATCTTCATCCTCTTCCTCTCCTTCTCATCCTCTCCTCCTCCTCCCCTCCCCTTCCACATCCTCATCTTCCTCCTCCTCGGCGGCGCTACAATGGCCCCGGGCCCACGGCGAAGCAGTAGCGATCATGCAACATGGGCCGGCGGAGTGAGCGAAGCGATTGAATAATCCCTCTCCCCCTTGGATTGGGGGGGGGGGATGGGCGCGTGCCTCCGGGAGGGGTTTTGGGGGGGATGGCACTTTTGAGGCTCAAGCTTCTAACCCACGGGGGGGTGGCCGAATGGCGTCGGCAGTTTCCGAGGGGAATGGAGGATAGGGGTGGCGCGAGGTTGCCTTGCGGGGGTGGCTGCAGGGATGGCGCTGCCATCCCCCCGATTACTATGCCATCCAGAGTGCCCAGGCCCCCGACATCATCATGTTTGATAAGGTGGGACCCCCAGAGCCCAGAGGTCTCGACCTATCCCCCGGGACCGCTTGTCCATCCTGCCTCGCCTTGCGACGGCCCCGAGGCTTGGCAAGGCCAAAAGAGGCCAAAACCAACGACAAACCTCCCGTTGTGTTGCTTCATGGCTCGAGTTGCTCGAGGGGGTCTGAACACCCATCTCGATCGCACCGACCGACGGCCCACGTCTTGCCCGCCCGCCTGCACGGCCGGCCCTCGGCCTGCCGCGTGCTGCCGCAGCAGCCGAGGCACAGGGCCAGCGAAGGCCTTCCGAGCTCTAGGGTCCGAGCCCAGACCCCCTCGCGCCGTGAAAGACGACGGACTTGTCGTTTGCCATTTTTCTAAGGGCCCTCGCCGGGACCCGGGGCTGTCTTCCTTTCGCAAGGTTGCCGCCTCGGCCCTGCCGGCCTCGCGGGTCTCTCCCGGCGGATCGGGGGAGACTATATATATATGTATATATATACATATATATATATATATATATATACATTTGTATATATATACATACACATACGAGACTGCAGTGGCGCTTGGCGCCATGCACCTTGGTCCGTGAAGATTGGTATACAAACGGAAATGGCAGGAAGGTCAAGCGGACAATTTGGCGGTAATTCCTTGCTGCCTTTTCTGGCATCGCCATTATAATAATGTTGTTCGTTATCCTTCCTCCATGCTTGCTGTTCCTCATTCTCGCCATACCTGGGCATTCTCCTCATCCTCCTCAGCTCTTTTTGCGGAGGCTCCTCCTTGGAGAGCCTCTGGGGGCCTCACCAAAGTTCTCAGGCTTTCTTAAAACCTTCTGGAGGCCTCCTGGACGTGTTCTGGGTGCCTCTGGGGCTTCCTAAGGTCAACCTGCCTCTAACCGCGGCCTCCCTGAACGCCCTGGTCACGATTTGGAATGCTTCGGAGGGCGTCTTGGGGCCATCTTGGGCCGCCATGGGGCTCTCTTAGGGCCATTTTGGACCCCTGATGAGCCGTTTTGGGGTTCTCTTGGACTGCCTGGAAACCCTTTCGGATGGTTGTGGGGCCATTTTGGAGCCTCCCAGGCGACTTCGGACGCCCAGAAGAACGCTGTCTTGGAGCGTCGGGAAGCCGAAAAGAGGAGAACCCCAAATTCACCAAACACCTATATCAAATCAATTATTTTTCCCTCTTGGGCATTCTTGGGGGTGCTCTTGGAGGCCTCTTGGTATGTTTTGGAGCGATCTTTCGGGGTATGACGGCTTCTTGGAGCGCTCTTTTGTTGTCTTGGGGTTCTCTGTGATCGCCCGAGGTGTGCTGCGAAGGCTTGGCAAAACGCCCTGCGAGGCCCGGTGGGCCGCTTCGAGGCCCGTCCGAAGGGTCTCAAAGCCCCAGATCCCGGGAGTCCGTTTTTTTTTGGGGGGGGGGGGGGGGCTGGTTTTCCCCCCGCCCGGGCTTGCAAAAATATAGGAAGAGGAATATACATATATAAATGTAGATCTGTATATGTACACGTCTTGCCCCCCCCCCCAGCACCCCCAAACGGCGGAGTGAGGAGGAGGAGGGATGGTTCCCCCCTCAGCGTCCTTCTCTTCTTCCTCCTGCTCCTCCTCATCCTCATGGTTCCTCCTCCCCCTCATAGGGGGGCATCCTCTTCATCGTCATTATCTTCCTGTCCCTGCTCCTCATCCTCCTCGTTCCTCCTCCCACTCCTCCTCCCCCTCCTCCTCCTCATCTTCCTCTTCCTCATCCTGCTCCTCCTCCTCCTCCTCCTTCTCCTCCTCCTCCTCACTCCGCCGTTTGGGGGTGCTGGGGGGGAGGAGGAAGAGGAGGAGGAGGAGGAGGAGGAGGAGGAGGAGGAGGAGGAGGAGGAGGAGGAGGAGGAGGAGGAGGAGGAGAGGGAGGAGGATTGCACCTTGAACCGAGAGCGCCACACACTGTGTATATTTGTTGTTTTAGATTTTGGGGTCTGAGGAGCAAGGAAACCCTATTTGTTTTGTCTGAGGAGCAAGGAAACACTGTGTATGCTTGTTGTTTGTATAAAAACAACAACAAACATGTTTTGTTCTGCAAGCCTCAATGCTCGCTGGGACCCCCGACGACTCCAGACCAAAATAACCAAACAGACACAGTGTTTCCTTGCACCGAGAGCGCCAAACACTGTGTATGTTTTTTTTGTTTTCTTGGTCTGAACAGCAAGGAAACACTGTGTATGTTTTTTGGGGTTTGACAGCGCCAGTGCTTGCTGGGAGAGGGGCCCCTGCGAGCATTGGGGCTGTCAAAACCCCCCAACCCCCCAAACCAAACATACACAGTGTATCCTTGCTCCTCAGACCAGAAAGACCAAAACAACCAAACATACACAGTGCTTGGCGCTCCCGGAGCAAGGAAGCACTGTGTGTGTTTTGTTGATTGTTTTTTTGTGGGTTTTGCCAACGCCAGTGCTTGCTGGGAGAGAGCCCCCTGCGAGCATTGGGGCTGTCAAATCAAAAAACAAAGCAACAAACAAATATACATTGTGTTCCTTTGCTCGTTATACGAAGAAACCCGAACAACAAAAGCAACACCAACAAACAACATACACAGTGTTTGGCGCCCTCGGTTCAAAGAGACACTGTGTATGTTTGTTTTTGCTAAAGTTGCAAAGAGGGAGGAGAGGGAGGAGGAGGAGTTAACGGTCATTGGTTACGATTCTGCTTCTGGTTCTGGTTTTGGTTCTTCTAGTTCTGGTTCTGATTCTGGTTTCGGTTGTTCTGGCGTGGATTCTGGTTGTGGTTCTGGTTCTGGTTCGTTTTGTGGTTTTGTTGGCTTTGGGGGTGCTGGGGGGGGCGACCATATATATACATATATATATACACACATATACACTGCTTTTGAAATACCGTGGACCGCCGAAGGCTCAAAGCCCTCGGCCTGCGCGTCTGCACATGGGCCGTCAATGACGGCCCAGGATGAGAAGCCGGTCCCGGTGGATGTGTCGAGACCTCTGGGGGTCGATGCTGTGAAACAGTGCCGACGTCGGGGGTCTTGGAAGGGCCGTTGCGGGGCCGCCTTCAGCACAAGAGCGCGCAGGAAAAAGCTAGCTGGCCTGTGAAGCAAGACTGAGATGCGCACGCCAAGCCTCCAACGACGTGCGACAGCGGTAGGGTCCACGTCGTGGAACGCGGGTGTGGGGCATATCGGCGAAGTATGTCCGAAAAGGGAGCGTCCATCCCCGTCCCATTCTATGACTCGCCATCCCATGCCATGAACCAACAATAGCTGAGATTAAATTGGCTCGCCAACATGCGCATTTTGAGTGATACGCGCTCGAAACATGTGTTGGCACTACAAGCTCCAATGCGATTTACCCCGAATGAGGTCTGATGTCAGTCGGATCTGGGTTTGAAGCAGTTGGCAGCCATCCCAGCAGACCCTATCGAACGTCGTGCCCTTGGAGTAAATGTTAACAACGAACACCAGCTGGTCACAGTCGGCTGGAATCTGGTCTAAGCTGACGGTGATCACCTCGCAAGGTGCTGGCTCCGCAGAGTGAACCAGACGCCGCCATCAACACGTAGCACATTGTCTCATGCCGCTTCGAATGTTTGGGTACTTCTCGCTTATCTCTGGGGGTAAATTCGCCCCCATCCAAGCATGCTGCTTGGAATCGGCCCGGGGTCTGAAGCGGGTGGACCTCGAGAAAACCCTTCAAGAAGGGGGGATAAGGGCAACTCCGCTCAAACTCGATCCTCAGATGGACCCCTCTCGTGCAGTGTTTCTTCCACCATCCGTTTTTGACACGGCCCCTGGGCCCGTACGGCTCCTGGAGGCCGACAGAATAAAAACCTTCTCGACTCGAAAACCTCGAACCTCGCCACCCCCTTCCTGCTCGCCGGAACTCATGCTGGGCCACCTCAGGTCCCCAACCGACTCCCGCATGCTGCGGATGTCTGCCGCCCCCGACTCACCCGTGACGTTGGAACAGCGCCGTTCCGGGTCCGTGGACGAAAACCAGAACCACGGGCGCAGGGCAACAGAGCGTGGGAAATCAGCGCGACGGCCATGGACGCCTATGGCCCCCAACCACATGAACGCGTACGCTTTTCTATCTCATGACTCGGTCAGGCTGGCGGCGGTGGCACACGTTCTTCCCATAAGAGCGGCAGGGGAGAGCGCGTCAGGGCGGCACCCCGCCAATGCTTGTTCGAGCCTCGATCAAAATCTAATCCGGGGCACTACCCTGACCAGCTTTTCGAACTGCGTCTGGCTGACGCGGTGAGGCCCTCCCCCCCGAAGGCTTGATCGGCAAGATCAATTTACACAACGCCATTCTCAAGGACTCGCTCCCCTCGTTTTCGCCCAGGTTGGAGCCCCCAAAATGGCCAGCGCCTCTACCCATCAAACTCACGAGTCAGAAAATATATGCTTCCCTTTGGACATGGGTGATTTGCGATCAAAGCTGCAAAACGACGTGGCAGAAGTAAGACCCGGCGCGAAGCGAACGCGAACAAACTAACTGTCGCTCTCGCCTCAGCGCTGCGCAGACCTGCCCAGGCTGCGAGCGAGCGACATGGCACCTTCACTCAACAAGGCTGCGTAGGTTTCTCAGGAGAGGTTGCGCCTCCGCTTGGGTGCGGCGCGTGCTTGTCGCTCGCCAGGTCGTCTGGAACGGGGCCTGGCGCAAGCGAAATGGATCCTGAACAGTGCGCCCCCGCTGTGGCGCGGCGCCTCCTGCCGCTCGCCAAATCGCCTGTAAGCGTGGCCGCGCGAACGAGGAGGAGGAACAGAGGAGAAGGAGGAGGAGGAGGAGGAGGAAGAAGACCACTGTAAAACCAACGTGTGTCAATGATGTTGCAATAATCAATCCTTCCACATTCCCTCTTCATAGGTGAGTCATAGGCCCAAACAAAATATTCGAATTTCGGGAAGTGGCCCATTAAAGGACGGTCGTCTGAAAATCCTCAGCGGTGCCAGTCAACCCTTCCTGCGACTTCAAGTGTCAACGTGAGTGTTACGTTTAGGAAATTCTAAAACGTGCCAGAACGCCGTTCTTGGGAAGTGGGCCGCGCGACTCAATGTGATTGTTGCGGCCTGACAGTCCTAATCTTTGCCAGAGCACAATTCCTGGGACTTTGGCTATACGAATCCTTGAAGCTGTTGCAACTCATTACAACGAATGCGCGCGGTGCTAAGGCTGGAACCACATATATTAAAAGAAAAACGCACCCGCCCTCCATCCGCGAAGCGCTTGCAAACTTTCAAAACGAATGCGCGCGGCTCCAAGGCGAGAGCTGCACGTGGAAAACCACCCTCCGTCCATCCGTGAAGTTCCTGCAAACGTTTTAAGCAAATGTGCGCCGCGCGAATGACAGCCACTTTTTGGAAAACACGGCCCCCCTTCAGCGAAGCTCTTTGCACATTTCAAGCTTCAGGATCACAAACTCAGGGGGCTTCTCAAACGAAGCGCCCAGCCCGCCCACCGACGCGCCTGGGCGTGCGACGTGGGGAAGTTACTGGCACGTGGGCGGACTAGAAGTAAAGGCGTATGGTAAGACATCTGTTTTACGATGAGCTGAAGAACGCGGCTGGAATTCAAAACGGGAAGAACAAGGGAACGGAAACTTTGCCAGCTTTCATACCCCCGAGCAACACGGCAGCGGTGAGGGAGACGATTACAAGAGCAACATCCAGTACAATACAAGAACGTTCTGTCTGTGACCGAAGCGCTGCGTCACATGACATCGCCTTTTCTGCCTTTAAAGCAGAGCCCACAAGACAACGACCTACCGTTGGAGTCTGGTGTTCGAAAGAATGCGTTCGGTGCGAATGCGAAAACCGCACCCACAGCAACGAAGCAAACATAAGCTCAGATGAAAGGGCGCTGTACGAACCGCGCCCCTCATAAACAGTTGCGCGAACGAGGGGATCTGATCACAGAGGGCCTTCTATTGACCAGGTCCTGACTGACAAATTGCCCAGCAGCAGGATTATCGATGGAGCACGCAATTGTTCACTCGCACGCTCTGCTGTCCGAAACATGCTACCCCGCGAACGCAGCTCGTGGAAGCAACCCGCTCGCTGGCATGCTTCTCTCTTCGCATTTCTCTCTTGCTTTATGTATTTATTTGTGTTGTTCCTCTCTCTCTCTCGGTGTGTATATATATATATATGTGTGTATGCGTATATGTGTAGATATCGCTCTCTCTCTCTCTCTCTCTCGCTCACTCTCTCCCTCTCTCTTCCGCATGGACTGCGCGGTCGTGGCATTCGCGAACAGCGTCCCGACATGCGACGCCGATGGGGTTATCCAGTAGCGTCGTCGTCATCCTTGTTGAGGTTGCTGCGGCGGGAGCTCGGCGCCGTCTTCTCGCGCCGCCCTTCGCCCAACCTCACCGCGGGGCTTTCGCAGGCGAGCTTCTCCTCCATAGTGTCGAGGGCGAGCTCCTGGCCGACACTTCCCGGCGTCATAGGGTCGGCCCTCGTGTCGCGGGCGTCGCGCCACAGCGTGTCGGGTGCCAGTCTGGCGCGCAGCTGGTCTGCTGGCCGCCGCGAGCGGCCTGCCGCGCTCTTCTCTTATGGCGGCCGCGCGTGGTCCACGGCCAGGGCTGTTATGACGGGCGCGCCGTCCTCGACTGGGTCGGCGAGTGCAGAATTACCCCCCTCCTCCCCCAGCCCCCTGATTGCATCTGCCGAAGCGGGCCCGCGCCTGCAGGCCGCCCGCTGCCCCGCGTGCCGCGAGCAGCTCAGGGCCGAAGGAAGATCGACGCACAGGCCAGTGCGTTCGGCTCACGGCGTCGAGCAAGTGACAGATGTGTTTACCAGCGCTGCGAAATTTGCCTGGGCGCATGTATGCGCCTCCACGCATGCTGCGCCCCGTCTCCTCCCCGCGCGTGAACGAGCCGTCGCTGAGCGCGCCGATCTGGTCCACGCTCGCCATCGCCGGGAAGGCCGCGCACGGATTGATCTTCTGCGCGGCCAGAACGACGGAGTTGAGCTGCATCGCGCGTCTGACGAGCAGCTTGTTCAAGGCCCACTGCAGCGCGACGGCGCGGACGGCGACGCGGCGTTGCGCGAGCAGCGCGTGGGCAGCTGCTCCGAGGAGGGAGACGAAGCGATCCGGGAGTGGACCTGCGGCCGTCTCGTCGGCCTCCGACTGGGCCAGGTCGACGTGCCTGATGGGGATCAGCGGGTCGATGCGCTCGCCCTGGTCGAGTGTCACAATAACATCAGCACTGCGGGGCTGGCGGGCCCCGCAAATGGCGCAGCCGTCGCAGTCCGTCTTTCATCTTGCCGACGACGCTCCCGATGTGGCTGACGAGTCGGTCGACGTGCTCCACGCGCCCTGCTTGAGATCGTCGACGTGCTTGGGCAGCGCGGGCGCAAACTCTGAGCCGCCGGCGCCGCGGGCGCCGGGCGCCTCATGTTTGACCTGGAGCTCACGGCCCCATCGCGTCGGCTCTGCGTTGCGCTCGGGCGAGCGCGCGGGCAGTCGGTTCGCTCGTCGACGCACTCGCGGCCTGGAACCTGCCGGGGGCATAGCGGCACTGCCGGGCGGCAGGGCGAAGTCCACCCGCGCGGCGATTCGCCGTGTCCCTGCGTCGCGGCAGAGTTCGCGCCCCGCAGGAGAGCCTTCTCGACGCCCACGGCGACGCAACCCAGTCCGGGCGAAAAACCGCCTCCGTCGACAAGATGCGCTGGGGCGCTAGTTTCGCCACGACGGCGCACGTCTCCGGGGCCCTGGCGCCTGCGTCGCGGAAGCCTCTCAGCGGCGCGCGGCGCGGGGTGGCCCCGGCCGCTGTGCTCGCAGGCCCCATGCGGCGCATCAGCTTGGACGCGCGCCTGGGGCCTGCGACGTTCCGGGCGCCTCTGACAGGGCGTCGCACGAAACGCTCGCCTTTTACCCAGATTGTGAGCTCCTCGAGGATGGCGGCGGCCACCTCCTTGGACAGCCTCGACGCCGCTTCCGTGGATCGGAGATCGGCGTCGCGCTTGTTCGCCGCGGATTTGACGGCGGCATCATGTGATTGAAGCGCGGTTGTGGTGGACTCGCCGGCAACATAATTGTCCCCGCGGCAGCTCAGTCATGCCTCTCGCACTCCGGGGCCCAGGTGCAACTCCGCTTGTTCTCCCCCTTCGACCTCCCCCTCTAGCTCGGCGCAATCGACTCAGGAGGCGCCGCGCAAGTAGTGGTGGCATTGCGCGTGGATGTGCTGGCGCCGGTGACGCGTCTCCAGCAGCGTCGACCACCTGCTGGCTGTCGGCGCTCTCCAGCCCCCGTAGCTCGCGGGCCAGATCCTCCGCGCCCTCGACTTCCTGCCGCGCTGCCATCATCACCTGCTGGGTGTGGCCAGAGAAGTGGCAGCCGGCTTCTTCGGGCATCGCCGAGAGGGCCGACGGTGAACCGCCCTCGGCGGCGCTGGCGGCGTCCTCGGGAACGTCGAGGACGCGGACATCGGCCGCCCCGTCGCGGTCGCGCCCGGCGTCGTCTGCCAACTGCTGTTCGCCACCCAGGACCGACTGGATGATGCGCTGCTCGCCGACGAAGCCGTGGGCGTCGAAGTTGACGCCGTCCAGGTGCAGCTGGTGGACGTCGCTCGGGTTTCGAAGGAGCCGCCAGATGGCCCGAATGCGGGCGCAGCCTGGCTGGTCGCCCGCAAATCTCTGCCCGCGTGGCCGGACGTCAGGCAGCTGAAAGCATCTGCGGGAAAGACGGCGCAACGCGTCGAGGACATCAAGTCGTTGCCGAGTCTGCTCAGTCAGCAGCTTGCCCTGCTCGCCCTCCCCGGGGCCGAAAATCCTGGCTCTTGCGCCTGGCGCGATGTGCTCTACGAAATACTCCGCGCGATCCCAGGCCAGGCCTGCTCGCGCCATGCCGGTGCCCGCGTCGTCGAAGACGGCGCCAACAAGGGTCCGTGCGCCCTGCAGTCTGCAGGCCGTCTCGGCGCTGCGGTACTTGCCCGCAACCTCGCCTCTGGCCGGGTCCAGAGAAACGACAATATCAAGACCTGGCCCGCCTGGCGCGTCCCTTGTGCTATGAGGCCAGTGAACCTCCACCTGGTCACCCGCGTTGAAGCGTCCCTCCCCAGTCTCTGTGGCGCGCGTCCGCAGGGCGCGGATGGCGCGGGCGATCGGCGCGGCCTCGATCGTGCGCTGCAGGGCGGTATCACGAATGCGCCGCTGCACTTGGCTGGGTTACACCTCGCAGCCAGCAGCGGGGCTGGCTCGGGCGAAGTGGTCGCCCTCGCCCTCCTCGTCTGCTTCGAGCGGCGGCAGCGTGGAGGGCTGCGTGCCAAAGACGACATTGCACGGCGTGGCGCCGCCCACGTGCGCGGGCGAGACTGTTGCCGGCGAAGATGGCATGGACCAGCATGGAGTCGAAGTTGGCGGCAATGCTTTCGCGTTCCAGCTGCTCCTCGGCGTCGCGCAGCGCGTGTCGTAGCATTGCGCTGCGTCGCCCTATGAAACGAGCGTGTTGGCGCGGAGCGCGCCGTCCACGATGAAGGTTTCCATTGATCCGAGTAGCTGGGTCCAGATCCTGACTGCTGCCAGCAGCGTTGAGTCGCATCTGTCCGTCATCTCCTGGCCGTTGCGCCACCGTGAGGCGCAGCAGAAAAAGTGCAGTACTTATCATGCGATCCTTGTAGTAAAGGATGTCGCATTCAACGTGAAGGTTCAAACGCGTCAGAAGGCGTAGCGTGGGAGTGGTCTGGTGCGCTGGTGGAAGCCGCTTACGACATTTCCAACAGTTTTTGGCTACAGTGGGGATGCGGTCGAGGATGGACTGCGGCATGTTGGCTGAACGCAGTGTTCGAGCCATCTCCTCCTTAGTGGCGTGCCCCCATCGGAGATGTAACTTGCGTAGCTCTCGCATGCGTGTCTCGTGCGAGTCGCCACGCAGCTGTCAAACCGAATCCAGTCTGCAAGCGCTGGGTTGCCTACAGCGGCGTCGGCCGCTCGTGGCGCTGCCCGTCTCGGCGCTGTGCCGGCTGCTGGACTGGCCCGTAGTCGTGTAGTCGTGGGCCAGCAACACAACTGCCCGATCCACTACCGCTACCCTGAGCCGCAGCGCTGGAGGATGACTGGCTCCTGGCGAACTGACTGGTGCTGGTGGTAGTGCTGCCTTGCCTGCTGCTCCGAGGTCGGCTCCTCCAGGTAGTTGGGCCTGTTGGTCGCTGGTTGGGCGTGGTCCTAGAGGTCGTGCTGGTGTTCGTGGATGTTGGACGGTACGTGGACGTGGCTGTACATGGGGATCCGCGAGCTTGCACTTGCTGAACTCGTGGGCGTGTGATGGGCGGTCGCGTTCCTTCTCCTTGCGGCAGCCTGGGCGTTCCCCGTGTATGGGGGCACTGTGAGGATAGCGGCGAGTGGCCGGATCTCGGGAGCGCATAAGCGAAAATGATCGCATGTTGCGTCGGCGCGCCATGCATGTGCAGCGTGCGCGCTCGGCTGTTATGGCGCTCCTGATTTCGCCCTCTGTGGCCCCTGCCCCTGAGGCCACTGCTGGAAAGGCTGCCGTCTCGACACCGCATTCGCGAACATAGTTCGCCATTTGCGGGCGTCTCAGGCGTCGGCGTAGGTCCACGGCTGGAGTCCACGATGCCGTGGACAAGCCGTTCGGACATCTTCCATGGCCAGACTTGGGCGTCGAAGCTGTCGTTGGTGCACTTGAGGTTTACGAACTGCTCTAGGATCTCCAGGGCGTTGGAGACGAGGCCTGTGATCTTTCGTAGAGTACCCCCGTGACGATCTCGTACGTGAAGGTGCCCTCACACCAGCAGAGCTTGTACTCCAGCGCACCGCTTCGCGGTCGGTCGTATTCAGCCCTCGAGAGAGGCAAGGAAGAGGAGGAGGAGGAAGAGGAGGAGGAAGAGGAGGAGGGGGAGGACTGCGAGGGCCTCCTCCGCTCCAACACATCCCCCGCTCGTCCTCCCGGATCTGCCCCCAAGAGGAGGCCAGACTGGCGGCGAAAAACAAGGGGCGCCTCGTCGTCCCCGGCGCCCTCCCCGGTGAGGTTGTCGCCGCTGGCGGGGATTTTTTCTTGTCTGGCCAGGGAGCGACGCCTCCGACGCCCCCCCGGGTCGGAGACGTGTCTCCGACGCCTCAACCGCCTCCGACGCCTTCGGAGTCGGGGGCGCGCCGGGGAAAGCTGGGCGCACGCAGAGCGTGTTCGGGCGTGTTCGGGCAGCTTGAGCGCGCTGCTCTATTCTCTATCGCTCGTTGCCTCCCTCCTCCCAGGGGTGGTGGGGCTCTTGGGAGCCTTTCCTCCCATCCCTGGTCGTCCAGCGGCGGCTGGGGCTGGGCCGGGCAAGGGCTCTCGGCGCAGCTGTTTCCCATCAAAGAGGGGCCGTGCCCGCGGACCCGCTTGTGATTTGGAAGGGCCCGATCAACCAGGGCCCAATCACCGCCGAGAGAAGCGGGGGGAACCAAAACTAAAGACCTCTAGCGGTTACAGGGGCAGCTTACGAGCGGGTGCCCGCGCGGTCGAGCGCCTTCTGATGCGTCGTTGACCTAGCCCGTACGTGAGAGCTTCGACACTCTTGCATCGAACCGGAAGAACAATACGAGGCCAAGTCAAGCTAGATCTGCCACAGGATGCCCTGTGAACCCTGGGATGCCCTTGGACCCCTCGGAGTCCTCGGAGGCTCCGAGCTCTCGTCTTCCTCCTCCCTTCCCCTCGCCTCCTTCTCCATTCTCGTCCCGTCCCGCCTCGTTATCCTTCCCTCCTTTGCGTATGGGGGGAGGCTCACCAAGCAGCCAGCGGCATCGTGACTCTCGATCTGGCGTGGCACCGCTCGACTACACGAGCGGCACAGCGACGTGTGCAGCGCAGGCCGGGAACGTGATAGCACAGGAGGCCGTGCTGCCTTGCGAAGACTGCATCGAACGGACACACGTGCGGAAAGTGGCCCTGGGCAGATGTGAGACGACGGGGGAAGAGGAGGAGGAGGAGGAGGAGGAGGAGGAGGAGGAGGAAGAGGGAGGGAGAGAGGAGGATGAGGAGGATGATGATGAGGAGGAGGAGGAGAAGCGGGAAGAGGGAGAAGGACCCAAATCTCTGACGATCTGGCTTTTCCAACCGTTTTTTGTCCCTCGACTGCGGTGTTCTCGGGGGCCCGGTTTGGGGGCCCCGGGGCCATCGCAGGTGGGCCTGGGCCGGAAAGCAGGCCCCGGGAAGGGGTCGGGACTTCTCAGGGCCGCGCATTGCACACGTCACATCATCGGACGTGTGTTGAGGTCGAAGTCGTGGGCGGGGTCCCGCCTGTGCTCTACGCCGAACTCGGCAAGGTTGCCGAAGAAGACGGCGCCTATCTCCTTGCCGCCCTGCAGCAGAAGCTTCACAAGGGAGAGAAACGGGGGAAGGGGAAGGCAAGGGAGGGAGGCAGGAGAGGAAGGGGAAGAGGAAGGGGAACGAGATGTGGAAGGGGGTGTGGCGGTGGAAGGAAAGGGGGGGATCGGGAAGGTGTGTGTGTGTGTGCGTGTGCGTGTGTGGAAGATGGATGTTCCGGTCGGGGGAGGGGAGGGGGAGAAGGGAGGCGTGGTGGAGGACAGGGAGTGAAGTGAAGAGAAGGAGTCTGGGGAACGGATCGGGAAGAAAAGGGGGAGAGAAAACTGAAGGAGAAGGAAAAGGGAGGGAAGGGAGGGGCGGGTGGAATAGGGGAGGGAAAGGGAGGGGGTGTTGGAATCTTGGAATGGGGGGATGGGAGAGGGAGGAAAGGGGATGAGAAGGGAGGCAGACGGAAGGGAAGGGGGGGAGAACATGAGGGGATGAGAGGAGAGAGACGAGAGGAAAGGGGAGGCGGAGGTCAGAGGAATAGGGCATGGGACCTGTCGTGAAGTACCACACTCGGTTTCCGAGAAGAAGCAACCGCCGTCGACGAAGCATCCATCGAGGTAGCGGCTTATCTGGCACCGAGAAGCTGATGGCAAGAAATGGCATATTGGGTTTCTTACGCTTCCTGTGATAATAGAGCAGTAGGACGGGGATGCGCGATGAGGCCAGCATCTACGGCTCAGGCGTAGATTGGGCTAGTGCATCGGCGAAGGGCCAGCGATGCGACAGCCATCTCTGGCGATCTACCAGACAAGCCCATGCATCGTCGGTCGAGAATAGGGGCGACACGTCGGCGATCGAAAGGCAATATTACTCACTCCGCCTAGTCTCAGAACGCTCCATACGTCGCCTCTTGCGCCTCCTCCTCCTCACCACCATGATCGTCCCCACTTCTCCCTCCACCCGCCCTCCCTCGTCTTCCCCTCCCTTCTTCTCCTCCCCCAGAAGAAACAAGCCACATGAGCATAAATGATCGATGGTCAGCACGGATTTCTTGGATCTGCTCTGGGCCATCCTTCCTGGCGCGCGGAGGTCGCCAGAGGAGCCGCGCCAAAAGGGCGGCGTCGGGGGGGGGGCCGGCGCCGAATGCGCGCAGACCCTCGACGGCTTGTGCTTGAGCCGTCTTCTCCTCTCGGCGGCGAGCGAGGGGGGGAAGTGAGACGGAGAAGGCCTTCTCAGAAGGCGGCGGAGCTTCTGGAAAGCCCTCCGGCCCGCTGAGAAGTCGTCTTCTGTGTCTTCGGGGAATGCTTAGAAAACTTCTCGAAAGGCCGGGGGGCTTCCGAGCCTTCTGAGAAGGCCCGCCCCTTCTCACTTCCCCCCGTCGCTCGCTGCCGATCCTCCGTCCCTCCCTGCGATGTCATGCTGCGCTCTGCAACTCTGTACCGCGCCGTGCTATGCCATGCTAGAACTGCTGTACATCACGCGCCCTTTCGGGATCACTGCCCTTTTCAACATCCGCCTGTGCGAATGGAGAGGGGCTCTGCGCAATGGTACGGGCTGGGAGGGAGGGGTAGGACGTCGGGTAGCACGCGAGCGCACCTTTTTTGACCCTCCCCGTATCTCCTCCCTGCTTCCTCTTGCGGCGCGCCATAGGGTACGGGGAGGGGGGAAGGCTTCTTAGAAGCACCCTGCTTCTCATAAGGCCCCGGCTTTACATCTATAGATAAGGCCAGCGCCTTCTGAGAAGCAGGGGTGCTTCTAAGAAGCCTTCCCCCCTGCCCCCACCCCGCTATTGCGCGTGGCCGATTCCTGCTGCCCGCTCCGCCCAGGTCGCTTCCAGGTCGCCGGCGGCCCCGCCCCCCGAACCCAGAGTGCCCCCAGCAGACGGGTGGAGGCGGCCACGGGCTCCCGAGCCACCTGGCAGCGGCGCTGGCGTGCCGCGTGCGTCGTGGTGGCGCTGCAGAGCCTGCACCGCGCATCGGGGACGCACTGGCCTGGGTCAGTCCAGGCCTGGGTCAGTCGGGCTCTGCAGGGTCCTGCACCATCCCCCAGGACCCTGCGCCCAAGACCGGGTCGGTGCAGCCCTGGCTCTGCAGGATCCTGCGAGATCCGGCGCTCTGACGCACCCCCGTTTGCATCGATCCCCGTCTCTTGAGGCCCGAGCGGATGCCGCCGCTGCGCCTCCCGCGCTGCCGAGCGCCCGCTCTGCCGCGATCTCTGTGCCGAGGACAGCCCTGGGCCGAGGCAGCGGCCGCGGGACGGGCGCGGCGGCCGCGGATTCGCGCCCTGCGGCCGGGCCTCTCGGGCGAGCGCCGTGGGGGTGCAGACTGCGGAGCTCGCCTACACGCGAGAGTGACCCTGGGTGAGAGTGACCTTTGGTGCGCGGCTCTTTGGGGGGCTGTGGGGGAACCAATCACACGACGGCAAGACGCTACTGCCGCATCGCGTTCGGCGATCGGCGGACCCCATTAGGCCCGCGCCAAAAGTCACTCCGGCGAAATGTCACTCTTACGCGTAGTCGAGGAGCGAGGGCGAAAGGAGCGAGAAGGGCCAGGTCCGTGAGGCTCTCGGAGCCCAGCCTCGAGGCGTGGCCGGCTGCAGATGGGAAGCGCTGCGGCCAGACCCAGGACATAACAGCATCCTTCAATAACGTGAGACCCTCCGCCGGCCAAACTGAAGAACATTCAAGGGTACCATCCCCCAGGATGCACAGGGACATCCAACAAACACGAAGAACCCTCCCAAAACCGACCGCGATCTTAGACCTCGGTCCGAACTCAGAGCAGCAGGGCTTCTGCTGAGAGGTACGAAGTTACCCTGATCGATCGCCGACGCCTGCGTCAGCTTGGCACTTTGACCTCCTGATCAGTCAAAGAGGTGACAGAACCCTCAAGCTCAGAATCCGAAAAGCGAGACAGGAACGGGTTCACTGCTGGCAGGGGTCTTGGGAAATTCGGTGAGCGCCTGGTGATCGGGTTCAGTAGCCCACGCCCCATGGCCATGGTCCGGCGTGCTAGGGTAGGGGCCTCCTCCCTCTCTCCCTTCCCCTCCAAATCCCCCCAGCCATCTGAGCGTAGGTGGTTTGGCAAGTTCGTTCCTCCAATCCCTTTCATACTGTTCGGGGAAGGGTTTGGCCCTCCACCTTCCCCACGCGGAAGACTTCCCCGTGCGCGGCTTGGGGGCTTCTTGGAGGGCTCTTTGAGGCCTCTTGGGTGCCCTTCGGAGGCCTCTGGGACCTCTGCGGTCCTCTTGGGGTCGCTTTGGCATCAAGCACGCCGGACTCTGTTGGCCTCTTCGAGGCTTGAGATGGCATACGGTGCCCTGCCTCTGGGGCCGTCTTGGGGCTCTCTTGAGGCCATCTTGAGGCATCGGGAGCCCTTCGGGCGCGCGAAACAGCGAGATGACACACTTTTGTCATGTACGGCTGCTGGAAAAATGTGGCCTCTTGGGGCCATCTTGAGACGACCTGGAGGTTGCCTTGGCGTAGTTATCTTGTCGGATCGTTTCTGGTCTCGGCTTGCCTCGTCTTGTCTTATCTGGTCGCCTTGGGGGCCTCTTGTGGAAGGGCACGACCGTCCCACGGCCGCTGGTCGACTGGAGGGGTTGGCCCGTCTCCTTAGGGAAGTCCCTCCCCTGGGGTCTGGACGCTCGGCCCACAAGGTTTAGGTCAGGCCTGTCCCCCTACAGGGAGATGTTGAACGAACGAATCAACATATACCATACATCATGGTCAAACAATTAAAAAAATAAAAAAAGGTCCCCACGCTATTTGTTGACCATTTTTCAATTTTCCTGCTGTAGAGGGACAGGCCCGGCTTAACACAAGGTGTCAGAGGGAACCTCTTGGCCCAAGATGGCTCAACGCAAACATGCTCCCAAGAGGCGCAAGCACCACCCTAAGACGGCTCCAAGTGGACACGGATCCTCCCAAGGACGCTCCCGAGAAGCTAAACTCATTCCAAGCAAGCACATCTAGAATGTTCCCAGGGATTTCTCCATCTCGGCGTTTCGTTGCCGGTGGCCCTCTGAGGCCTCAAGGCGGATTCAATATCGCCACAGAAGACCCACAAGAAAAGCTTCCATGCGGGGGCCCTAGGAAGGCACAACGATCGAATGTACTTGATGGATGTTGGCACCTCGGGGGCATCCCTGAACGGCTTGTGGACCAGTGTAGTTCCAAGATGGATCCAGATGCCCTGAAATGGCCCCCAAGCTGACACAATATTGTCCAAGTTGGGTCACATGGGTATCCAGCATGCCTCCAGAAGGTCCCAAGACGGCCCCAAGTGGCCTCGGAGCCTCCTGAGGACGCTCCCGAGAGGCTCAAATCAGTCAATCACGTCGCTTCCGATGGGTCTCTGAGGCCCAAAGATCGGTCCACGATCGCACAAGAGAGCTCCAAAGAGGGGCCAGAAGAGGTCCAAGACGGCCCCAAGAGTGCCCAAGATCGCCCCAAGACCGTTCCAAGATGGCTCCAACATGTGACTTTCTGGCACGGACGGGGCACGGCTAACTGCTCTCCCTTCTGTGATCGACTGCCTCCACGTCCGAAGGCCTCCAACATTGCACCAAGAGGACTAGCTCTGATAGACCTCCAAAAGGCTCCCAACGCGATAGATTCGTGCAGGCCTTTGTCGCTGGCTCTCGTCGTCGTCATCGTCGTCGTCGCCGCCCGTTCATCCCCCATCCCCGCGGCTTTATCCGCCCACCTCCCTCCTCATCCTCCTTGACAGCGTCAAGAATACGGCGGCCCTCTGCAGACCCTGTGCCGGGAGTGGACTTCATCGAATTGCTCAGGCCCCCAAGAGGCGTCCAGGAGGGCCCCAAGACGTCCCAATATGCGCTAGCATGCCAATTCATGCTCGTCGTCTTTGTCCTCCTCCTCCTCCTCCTCCTCCTCCTCCTCCTCCTCCTCCATGGTCACGAGACTTGCGGGCCAATTTCCCGAAGGGTGAACCGCCTTGGCACCTGCTCTGCGGGCTCCACTTGGAGGGCGGCGGCAGAGGCAGTCATGAAACACATCGGTATCATGTAGCAGCGGCAGGGTGATACATTCCAAGCCATCAGTGCGACCTGCATCCGCCCGACGGATCACTGCACCGGCCTTGCTGCAGCGGATTGCCGCATGGATTCTGTCAATACAAAACCCCGAAATGGCGGGCGAAAAACGAAGTGAATTTCACGTGGATGGTTTGTAGTCTTTCTTTATGGCAACGAAAATCCGCACGAAATCCACTTCGAGATCCGGGACGAACATCTGCAGGAGAATTCTGGCCCATCACATTGTTTTCCGAGCGACATCCGCTCTGCGGTACTGGCGCCATGAGACGGAGGAGGGGGGGCGTGCCAAAAAAGTGGCAGCGCACCCAGTGGGCGCCCGCCGTCCTGGCCCAGGGCCGCAAGCGGACGCGATCAAGACCCACGGAGCTGACGCAGGGGGTCGGGCAGCCAAGGGCGCAGGCGGGGCACCGTGCCCGGCGCAGTTGGTCAAGGGGGGGCGGCCAAGAGCAGGGGCGTCATGACATTGATCCGTCGGCCGGAAGAAGTAGAAAAAACATGAGCTCGGAAGGTGGACAACGTAGATCGGATGAGGTAAATACCTGAGGTCGATTGGGTTCAGACCCTCCCATAGAACAACAACACACAGCAAAACCATATCGATTCTTGCAGCAGGAAGGCGCTAGAAGTAGATTCTGGGATCTGGGAATCTCAAAAATACCTACTTTCAACGACTGGCGTGTGCGCTCACACGCATTCTTGGTCGCGGCGGTGGCGGCTCGCGCGGCACGGTCGGAGCCTCCTGCGCCGCGGGGCCGCTGCAGCGGGCGAACTGCGGGCGAGAAGCGAAGGGGGGGACAGGAGGGCGGCCGCGGATCCACGCTGGCTGACATAGAACTATCACTAGGCACCAGCAGGGCAGCGCAAGAGGGAGCTGTCTTGCGCACGCTGGCAGAATGCAACGCTATGCTGGGTCATGCATGCTCCGCCCACCGGATGGGCCTCCCTCTCAAGATGTCTTTCCCCGCAACGCAGCGCAACCCACACCCTGAGCATCGCGGTGCGTACGAGGAAGGCCCGGGCAGCCAGGTACGACAGACTGAGCGCCACGCGTGGGCAGCAGCAGCAGCAGCAGCAGCAGCAGCAGCAGCAGCAGCAGCAGCAGCAGCGGGGGGGCAGGAGGGCGGCCGCAAAGGGAGGGAGGGCGGTGAGGGCGGCGCACTCGGGCCTTGAATGCCCAGGGCTACGCTCACCAACAGAGCCATGCAACATCTACCCATCGGTGGGAAGAAGTGGGCAGAGACATGGCGACGAGCGGCGCTGGAAGCAAACTTTGGATCTCCGCCGGGGCCCATGAAGGCGACGGAAGAGGGACCACCACTCGAGCCCTGAAGTAGCAAGGCGCCCAGAGCACATCGGGACCTGGGGATCAAGAGAAGCCGACTCTCAACGACTGATGGGCACACGAGCCCTGTGGCAGGTCGGGGCGAGGGAGGGTCTGCCACCCTTCGGGGCAGGCCTGCAGTGCACTTGGCCTCGTCGCTGGTGTCGGAGGTGCCTCAGCTGAGGAGCCGCACCTGACCGTTCGACCCCATGCAAATAACATTCGGGATGATGATCTGCGATGAAGGAGCTACCTGGATTGGCGGCGAGCCTGGGGGGGGAGCGAGAGGGGATGGCCTTCTCAAAGGCTCGGGAGGCCTTCCGAGCCTTCTGAAAAATATTCGAAGCCTTCCCCGAAGACAAAGACATCTTGTCAGAAGGCGCGAGGGCTTCTGAAAAGCCCCCCGCTTTCTGAGAAAACCTACCCACTCTCAGTTTCCCCCCGGCACGCCGCCGACTGAATACGGGGGTGCGACATCATCGTGGACACTGTGCGCATCATCGAATCGAGCTGGCGGAGGCGTGGTGCCGAGCGACGTCGCACTGGTCTCGTGCGACAGCTTGTGCTGCGTTGGGGCCCAAAACGCCAGCTGCAAGAGCGGGGACATGGGAGGCATCATCGAGGAGGGCGCGCATACGAACCTCTGGGGTCAAGCAGCTGAGGACCGAGATACCCCACGAGGGCGTCGCCCACCTGCCCCCATGGGAAAGAGCCGCGCGCGCAGGATTCCAGGGCGATGCAGTCTGAGGACTCTCCCCCCGAGGGGGCGCGAGCGGGCCGACCCCGGGGCGGGAAGCACCACATGGGAGCGCAAGCGCGGGTCGGGCCGTCGCGGCCACCGCGGTGACCAACGATACCGTGGCGCCCCCGACGCTCGCCACGCAGAGCTACGGGATACTGGCTACTCAAGAACGGTGTGCGGTCAGATGATGTGACCTTGTGAAGAGCTTCGGGTGCGACCGACACGCCCCTGTCTGCGAGGGATGCCCGAGTAACGGATCCAGCGCGGCAGTGCTGCGCATGTATGCCGCGTTCGGCGAAGGCCACACATCGGGCCAGCCGGTGTGAGAAGAGCACCGTGGCAGGAAGCGTGCTAGCGTGGGCGGCGCTGAGCACCAGTTCCGCTGGAAGGTCAGAAGTCTTCTCGTCGAAGAGGGCCTGGCTGGGGCGGTGCTGCTCGATGGTTTCCGTTCGAACTCTGGGCTCAGAGGTCGCCCCCCCAAAGCGCCCCGGCCGCTCAGCCCACGCGGTCCTCCTCCTCCTCCTTCTCCTCCTCCTCCTCCTCCTCCTTCGTTCCGTCATCCCTCCTCGGTGCTTCCTCCTCTCTACTGTTTCCTCCTTGCGACGCTAGAAGAACAACAATGATATAAGCAAGACATATTTCGCAGCTCCGTGCTGATATTCTGGGTCGGTGCTGACCCCACGCCGGCGCCGCCTCTGGCGCAGCCTCTGGCGCGCCACGCGCGCCAAGGAGGGGGATCCAGCGCCGATCAAAGAAACCCGCGCGGAGCTCATAACAATTTATGTCGTTGCACTTTTTCCTGCTGCGAGGTGCTGGAGCACAGTCGCTGTCCTGGGCGAACAGCACGACGGAGACGTCGAGGTCCACGTCCCCCGCCTGGCGGCAAGTGCGGCCGGCCGCAGCCGGATTCCGCGAGGATGCTGCCGTCGCGGCGCTGTTCTGCGGCTGGTGCACGCCATCGTGACTTCTCCTGCTCCTCCCTCCTCCTCCTCCTCCTGCTCCTCCTCCACCTCCTCGCCCCCCTCCTCCTCCTCCTCCTCCTCCTCCTCCTCCTCCTCCTCCTCCTCCTCCTCCTCCTCCTCCTACCCCTCGTCCTCGCCCCCCTCCTCCTCGTCCTCCTCCATCCCTTTTCCTTGTAAACAACTCCTGCCCTCCACACCCTGAGACGTGTCGGTAAGGAGGGCCGGGCGTTTCGCCTGAGACGATCTCGCCATTCATGCCCATGAAGCTGGAACTTTGCAACAGTTTCACAGGTTGAGGGCGGGGGGGCGGGGCTTGTCAAAAGGCTCGGACGGCCTTCAGGCTTCTGGGAAGCTCTCGGAGCCTTATCCAAAGGAAGGGAGGGCTTCTCTGAAGGCCAGAAGGCTTCTGAGTAGCCCCGCTGCCTTGTGTGAAGGCTGGCACCCCCCTGCCTTCCCCCCAGGCGGGCGCGTCGACGATAGTTGTGCTATTTTGTGGAGCCAAGATGAAGAGCCTTTCCACCGCATTCAGGACGGCCTGCACAACAATTTTGAGAAGGCCCACAGGGGTTCGACCACATGACTCGACATCTGCGTCACTGGGATCTCCCAGGCCTCCCCGCCCCCCAAGCGCGGTGACGCATGTGTTAGGTATTACAACTTGGTTTTTGTAAAAAAAAAAAAAAAAAGAGAGGGGGCCATAAGGATGCCTCCAGGGGTCGTGGCTTCAGCGCGGCAAGATTGCGTGGGATTGAGTGAGCGTCTTGGGCCCACTGGAGCCTGATTTGACACGATCAGATTGCCCATTGAGGTCCAGAATAAACTTCTAATGGCGGACGTCATGGAAACGCAAATCCAAAGCCCCTTTCGGGGTGTGGCTTGGATGGTTCGAAGGTGGGACGAGGGCGAGAGCGGCGACGGCGACAGCTTCCACAAGTGCCTCGACGAGGCCGACGAGCGCATCGACGAGGACGCCGAAATTCCGACGAAGAAAAGGGCGGCGACGGCGAATACAACGAGACGGTCTCCACGGAATTTCCGTCGGACCATGACCTCCTGCACCACCCCGACACCGACGGTGATTGGGATTCGCCTTGGAAGAGCGATGGGCAAGCCGATGATGACGGCATCCGATACTTCGCAGACGTCGAATGGCTTTCCGCCGACGAGGCCATGCTCGCTATAATGCTTCGGAACGTAAGGGGATAGCGCCGCTTGGTTGCTCAGAAGCCACCAGACACTGATATCCCTCAAGGCACCGCTGATTGACTACAGACAGTGGCGGCCACCAACCACTGCTACCCCGAATACTGTCCACTCTGCTGAGCTGTGCGGTGGCGGTCGCAAACATAGTTCCATGGCCACCGTGCCCCTGGCTCGACCCACCCAAACAGTGACGCTGAGAGCCCACAGAGCGTGTGGCACACCTCTGACGCGACGGCGCGGCCTTTGGTTTTTCCGCCAACGCGTGACCCGCTCATGGAGGAACAAGCAACGGCATAATCATCTACATTCGGAGCTCCGCGCGGATCTGTTGATCATCGCTGGCCCACACTCCCTGGCGCGCGGAGCGCGCCAGGGGCGGCGCCGGAGGCACCGCCAGGGAGGGGCCAGTGCAGGTCCAAGACATTCGTGCGGAACTCCCAAACCTTTTTGCTTATATGCCGCGGTTTGTTCCTCTGGCTCTGCCTGGAAGAGGCGCCGTTGCTTGGCCCCCACGCCCAACATCTGCCAGGCGAGCGACGAAAAAAGAAGAAGCTATTTCGCGAGACGACGTCATGAACGACCTCACGCCGCGTCTCACGCTGGCCGCCAGCGCGGCACGCTGCCTAGAGACGGGGGCGCATACGCGCGACCGTACGCGGGCAACTTACGCGCGAATGTCGTCGAATACGGACTCGTTGTTCTGCGTCGCCCACATGTTTTCGACAGTGCGCGCCAGTGCCCGCGCCGCCGCGCATAGGCGCCCGCGCCACACACACACACAAACACACAAACACACACATACACACAAACACGCACACACAACAACACACACAAACACACAAACACACACACACACACACGCTTCAGGCCGGCGGTCCGTGGCTCCTAGGTGCGGGACGCGCGCCCTTGAGTGCACGACACACACACACACACACACACACACACACACACACACACACACTCACACTGACACTCACACTCACACACACAAGCAAGCACGCACGCACGCACACACACACACACAACACACACACACATACACGCACACACACACAGACACACACGCACGCACGCACGCACACACACACACACCCTCACACTCACACTCTCTCTCTCTCTCACACACACACACGCACACGCGCACACACCGCGCACGCACGCACGCACGCCCCCCCCCCCCCCTTCCCCCCTCCCCCCCCCCCACACACACATACACACACACACACGCGCACACACACGCACACACACGCACGCACGCACGCACGCACGTACACGCACACGCACACGCGCACACGCACACGCGCACACGCACACGCACACGCACACGCTCACGCACACGCAAACGCACACGCACACGCACACGCACACGCGCACGCGCGCACGCACGCACGCACGCACGCACGCACGCACATACATACATACACACAGACACACACATACACACCCTGTATCCGTGCGCTCGCGGCCCGGGCCCTTTGAGATTGGGCGGTGCGCTCGCAGTGCGCACGCACGCACGCACGCACATACATACACACATACACACATACACACAGACACACAGACACACAGACACACAGACACACAGACACACAGACACACAGACACACAGACACACAGACACAGAGACACAGACACACAGACACAGACACAGACACAAACACAGACACAGACACAGACACAGAGACACACACACACACCGCACCCGTGCGCTCGCGGCCCGGGCCCTTTGAGATTGGGCGGTGAGCTCGCAGTGGTCTTCGGCCTGGCCTGCCTGTGGGCGTGGCGCGGCGCGGCGGTTTGCTGCTCGCTCCGCCCCAGCTCCTCGAGACCACCATCCCACCCTGCCTCTCTCTCCTCCCTCCCTCCCCCCCGGCCCACCTGTTGCCCCTGCGCCTGCGCGTCCGCCGCCTCGGACCCAAACTCCGCCACCTACTCCTCCACCACCTCCACCACCTCCATCACTTCCAGCACTCAGGAACGGCGAGCAGGTCTGGTTCAACAAATGTGATTTCGACGGCTGCTGGGGCGCCTCATGTCGAGCTGGGGGGCCTCTGGTCGGGCTGGGGGGGGACATCAGATCTAGCGAAAGCAACCTTGTCCAACGAACCTTTTTGCAAGTCTCCGAACAACCTCGTCCTCCGCCGCAGCCTCCGTATCCTCAACCACCTCCACGCAGACCGAAGGGGGGGTGGAGGCGGGAACGGGGCAGAGCGGGGCACCGCAACGGGCGCACGGCCGCCTTCGGGTCCACGTCCCAGCCGAGCCCCGCCCTGACGAGCGTCATGTGGTTGGAATCCTGGAGGTCTAGAACCTCGTGGGATGGGGGCCCGCCCGCCGCCTGGGCCTCCCCCTCCGCCTCCGCCTCCTGTTGAGGTCCACAAGCCGGCATCAACACGCAAACTGTCGGAAGCTCGGGCAAGTGCATTGGGTCGGCGCTGCTCCCCCAGCGCGCCACGGGCGGTGCCGGAGGCGCGGCCGGGGCGGCCCGGCGCCGATCCAAGAAATCTGCACAAACCTCCGAATGGTTGTGTTTTTGCCCGCGTTTGTTCCTCGATCCTCGTTATCCTCATCCCCCCCGTGAGGGGTGCAACAAGCGAGTCGCAGTCAACGGAGTCGTTGGCACTTCAGCGCGCGGTTGCGGTCTGACGTATATATACATATATATATATACGCCCGCATGAGCGACGACAAGAAACGAACCCTACGCAAGATGGCACAGCGACCATATGCGGTGGCTTACGCGGGCCGCCAGCGCGGCGAACCACACTGGACACGAGGGCGCTTACGCACAACCTTACGCGGGCAGCTTGCACGCCAATGCCGGCGCAGACGACTCCCTTGTCTTGCGTCGTTCACATGGGAACATCTTCGTGGGGGCTAGATCGGGCCACTGGGGGCCATCGCTCTGGCTCCCTCCCTGGCCTCGTCGTCGGGGGTCGAGGCGGGAGGCCGCGGCGGGGAGGAAACCAAGGCCGGACGATAGAACCTCACTGCCAGCCCCGGTCGGGGCGTGAGCAGCGAGGAGGAGGACGAGTCCCCAATAAGCGCTGATCATCCGCAGGATCTGCGCAGCGACACTTTCCCCCCGCCACGCAGGCAGCTTGGGAGGCGCACGCGCACCGGGGAGCATCCGCACCTTACCCATGATGCGCGTGGCCTCCTTGAGGCTGCCATCCCACGTGGGGCCGCAGCGGGATGCGTCACGCTGCGTACTGCAATGCCCCCGCTGGCAACCATCGCAGCACCAAACCACGCCTATGCGTGGTCAACTAATTAGTGGTGCCGCGGGGCATGATGCCCAAGGGCCGTAGGTATCCGGAACGTGCCATGGGATACTGGCGCGCGCATGGCACCATTGACGCCGCAGGAGGCTCGAGCACATCATATGGCGAAACTGGGCGAGTGGGCCCAGGGAAAGTTTCGCCAGGACTCGAGCCAACGACTATGGGTAGCGAAACAGATGATGACGATAGCGATGCTGACGACGACGATGAGGTTCCGACCACGCCTGCGCAACACCGAATCCGTGACACTCAAGCCGGACCTCTCGGTGTCACGGTTTCCGCCGATCGGCTTTCGCACCCCGGCCTGGGCTGCGGGAGCGGCGGCCCCAGGCGACACGAAAACGCCGAACAGTAAGACCCTGGGCCCTCCGAGGGCCCCCAAAACATAGTTCTCGGCCGATGAGCGCTCTGTCTGGGGAGGAGGGTTCAAATTCTCTGGCCCCCAGAGGCGGCCTTGTGGCTGACAGTCGACCTGCCGATAAGAACAAGTGTTGCGATGGGGGGGGAAGGATTTGTCCGCCGCGCGCACAACAAACTGGAACCAACCCGATGTTGATGCTACGCCACTCCCTGTCCCTACATCCCCGCCCAGACGCGGGCCGCCGGGCCCCCGGGCGGTGGCAGCAGGCGCCGCCGCCGCCTCCGGCTGCTAGCCGCCAGAGCAGCCGCAGCCGCCCGCCGCATCCTCCTCCTCTTCTTGCTCTTCCTCCTCCTGCTCCACAATTACACCATATGAATAATACTCTCCTCTCTCCCCTGGTGGCGTTCCGCAAATGTCCAGCCACCCTCCGCGTACTGGTGTTTAACACACAAGATTCCTGGAATTTGGGTTTTCGCTTGGTTTGTACTTTCCCCTCCAAAAATGCTGCTCTCGCTGAAGCGCCGGCCTCATTTTTGGGCTACCGCTCGTTCCGAATCGCGCTCCCGCTGCAGCGCTGGCTTCATTTCCGCGCTTCCGCTCGTCCCGAATCGTGCTCCCGCTGCAGTGCTGGCGTCATTATTCTCAGCGCCATGCCACGGCATGGTTTTCGGTTCTTCCAAACAGGCCCCAAAATCTAGAAAATGCCCCCCGAAAAAACCATCGGAAGTGATTACACATTCGCTGTCGATGCAATGATTTCTTGGGCCGCAGAAGCCCCCCCCCACTTTGGGGCGTTGCCACGCCATGCTATGTCATGCTACGCGTTGATCTTCAACACCATGCTATACCATGCAATGATATGCCATGCTACGACATCCGATTGTGCAAATACAGATGAGATCTACGCCATGGTAATGGATGGGAGGGAGGGGTAGGACGTCAGATATGACGCGAGCGCACCTAGCTTGTCTCTTCCCCTCCTCCTCCTCCTCTTTTCCGCCTCCTCCTCCTTTCCGCCTTCTCCTCCTCCTCCTCCTCCTCCTCCTCCTCCTCCTCCTCCCCGCTGCGGCCGTCTGCTCGGCGCTGCCCCCTGCTCTAGGCCGCGCGCCTCTCCCTTCTCCATGGCAAACGCCACCTTCTGCCTCTTGGGCGCTCCTCTCGCCGATTGGGAGGCCGAGGAGACCAGGACGCAGGATGCAACAGAGAAAGTGGAACCAACGAGTCGCGAGCATGACAGGGCAGTAAAGCATGGATGCGCCACTACAGCAAGAGGCGCGCGGACGCTGACAAGCAATTCGTGAGGCAGGTGAAGCAAGCACCGTCACCTGGGAAACGCCGCCCAAAACCAGTGTCGGGTCGAAGCCGAAGGGCATCGAACATAACACATCTCGAGGTTGAAGCCTCGGATGTGCGCGACTCACCACACGGGCGTGAGCCCCGAGTTGTCCTCGCTCTACCACGGTAGAAGATGAGCCTAGGTTGAAAGAGGCACCAGCAAGCAGCAGCAACGATGGAGAGGGCGAAGGAGGAGGAGGAAAAGGAGGGAAAGGAGGACGAGGAGGAGGAGGAGGACGAGGAGAAGGAGGAGGAGGAAGAGGACATGAAGGAGCATGCCACGCGTCAGATTATGCTGATTACGATGAGGAGGGGGGGAGGATGATGATGAGGATGAAAGAGCGGTGCCGAGGGAGAGCACGATGAGAAGCAGGGGCAATTGCAGGAGCAGCAGGAGCGGAAAACGGGCGGAACTCCTGGGATCACGCCGCGGATTAGGTTGCCCAAAGTGGGCTCCACGACCCGCTGGCTCCGCTGGGGCGCTCCGAGGCGGGGCTGAAGAGGGAACGGAGGGGCGAGGTTTGAGAAGGAACGAGGAGGAGGAGGAGGAGGAGGAGGAGGAGAAGGATGATGATGATGATGATGATGATGATGATGATGATGATGATGATGATGATGATGATGATGATGATGATGATGATGATGATGACGAGGAGGAGGAGGAGGAGGAGGAGGAGGAGGAGGAGGAGGAGAAGCAGGAGCAGGAGCAAAACCAGGAGCAGGAGGAGCAGGAGCAGGAGGAGGGAGGAGAGGAGAGGAGTGAGGGGGGCCCTCCCTGCCTGCTTCTGTTTTTGTTTTTCTTTGGATGGGGGAGGGGGCCCCTGCCGCTGGCACTCGGGTGGCCGTCGCCATCCACCTGGGTGCCGAGAACTGCCTCCGTGACGGCCTCCCCCTGTCGTGGCGGGCTTGGGACCTCCAACCGGCACGCCTGGCCCCTGTGGACACGAGACACATTGCGGACGGGTCTCGTGCCGGGGCCGCGGATTAGCGGAGGAGGCGAAGGAGAAGGAAAAGGAGAAGGAAACAGGGGAGGAAAAGGACAAGGAGAAGGAGGAGGAGGAGGAGGAGGAAGAGGAGGAGGAGGAAAAGGAGAAGGAGAAGGAAACAGGGGAGGAAAAGGACAAGGAGGAGGAGGAGGAGGAGGAGGAGGAGGAGGAGGAGGAGGGGACAGCAATAATGTCACCGCCGTATCGCTGGGGCACGAATGGGGCGCCGTCGCTGGAGCCCGCATGGGGGAATGAGATCCGGCGAGCGGGGGACACCCGCCACGTGGGTGAAATCGGGGGGTGCGATCTACAGTCGCGGCGTCGTGGTGCCGAGTGCCTGTCGTCACTCCTCCTCCGCATAACCGCATGGACTGTCCCTCACCACCTCCTCGCCCCAAGGCCCTTCGACGATCCAGGCGAGTCCAAGATTCTAGGGGGTGACATCCCGGAAAGGGGGGGGCGAACTTGCTGAGGCAGTCGTCCGCTAAGTTGCGGCTAATCGAGCCGCGGCGCGCACGAGGGCGGGCGAGCCCTCGGCAGGGCTGCGCCTGGGCCGGGCAGCAAGCGGAGGGAGGAGGAGGAGGAGGAGGAGGAGGAGGAGGAGGAGGAGGAGGAAGAGCAGAGGGGCTTGGCCGAACCCCCAAACGGCGCGGTGACCATACCGCGCGGTGATTCAGCGGGGATGCGGGGTAGCCGCACGGTTTCGGGACGTGGGTCGTTCTCCGAGGATGTCTGGGGCAGCCGGGGCCCCCAGGAACTCCAAACGGCACGCTGACGGACACTGCTGTCATGTCTTTGCGGATTTCGGAACCACCGCAAGGTCTGTCACTGCGCAGTTTTGGGATCACCAATCAGCTCGCGCAGCGGTCTTTCCTGGTGCCCCCCAGCGTCGGGGGGAGCCAACGTAAGTATCGAAGAACGGCGCCTGGCGGCGGGGCCAGAAACGTCTGCGTGAAGCACATCTCGTAACCGCACCTTTCCCTATCCCCCCTTTCTCGATTCTTATCAGAGCTCGTGCTATCGCCAACGTGCGCTTACCCGCGGGCAGCGCGACGAGGGCCGACAGAGGCTGCGCGCCATCGGTGGAGCTGAGCGGGGTAAGCGCACACTGGACTACGCAGCGCACACCGTAAAGAGCATCGGCTTTCGTCCGACCCGACATGGGGAGGCACCGTCTCCCACGCGCGGCGCCTAAGAAGAGCGCCGCTGCGCCCCAGCGGCCACCGCGTGACGCACAGAGCGAGCAAGAGGAGGCGGACATTCCCCACCTCCGCCGCCTCGGCCCCGGCCAGGGGGTCGTGCCGCGGCGGACCGCCGCCCGCCGCTGCTGCTGGCCATCGCTGGCGCCCCCGCCGCTGTCGGCGTCGACGTCTGGCCCGAGCCCCAGGGGTGGCGCCCCGTGGAGGCCCTGGGAAAGCCCCAAAGAGGCCCCGGGGAAGCACCACGTAGAGGCCCAGGAGCGCGACACCCGCGGAGGTCCTGGGAAACGGCCGTCGTTGTTTCCACGGTCGTTGTCCTCGTCCTCGTCGTCGTCGTCGTCGTCGTCGTCGTCGTCGTCGTCGTCGTTGTCGTTGTCTGTCATCGGCGTCGGCGGTGGCTGCCGCCCGCCGCTGCTGGTGGCTACCGCTGGCCTGCGCTGCTGGTCTGGGTCCCGAGTCGTCGGCGTCAATCCGCGGGTGCGTCTGTCCCCCCGCTGCCGGCTCTTAGGCCGTCGTGGCAGCCTCGAGGGCCATCTTAAAACGTCGTGGCGGTATCCTGGGCCATCTTGAAGCTTCCTGGCCTGCTGGGGCCCGTGTAAGCCGTCCAGCACGCCCCGGAACGCGCCCCGGAAAAAACCCGAAGAGGCCCAAGAGGGGCGCTGCCGCCCTGCTGCCCCGCCTGTGGGTCTCACAGACGGGGCGTCGTCCTCCCTGTTCACATCTGCTCTTCCCGCCTGCTCTCCCTCCCTCCGCGCGCCGCCATGGCGCTGACGGGCTGCTCGCAGCCGCCGCGCTGTCACCCCGGGCTTGGTCTTGCCCCCCGCCGCCTGCGGCCCAGCTTTTTGCTGGACACCACGCCCGCTCCCGCCCTGGGGAAGGTGCGGCCACCAGACGTCGGCTCCACACTGACCGTTTTGCACCCTTGCCCCACTGGATGGTCACAGCCCCCGCGCTGCGCCCCGCCGCCGCCGGCCCCCCCCGGTGCAGCAGCCGCCGCGGCCCTGCCGGCGGGGCCGACCGCGCCGCGCGCTCGGGGCGCGACCCGTCCCCCTGAGCGGCCTCGTTCCCCTCCCGCCCCCTCTTTCGGCAGTTTCCTCTGCCCTGTCCCCTCCTCTTGCATGGTGGCACAGTTCGCTACAACGGCATCCCATTTTAGGTCGCTTTTCGCCAGCGCAGTTACTCTGCCTAGCCGCCGACGCACAAACAAGTGTTCGGTGATTGGTGTTTGCGATTTGGTGTTGTGGCTCGGAATTTGGTGTCTGGGGTGTTGGTGTGAGGGTGTTTGGTGTTTGGTGTTTGGTGTCTGGGGGTTGGGGTTTGGTGTTTGGTGTTTGGGGTTTGGTGTGGTGGGGTTGAAGGGGTGGTGTGGCCGGGTGTTTTCATGGGTGTCCATTGGTTGTTCCTGGAGAGGGAGCTCCCCCCCGCACCGCCTCTCCCCGCCCCCCCCCGCCCCCCCTTTCCCCTTCCACCCCTTTTCCCCTGCGTTGCCATCCGCCCCCCCCCCCCGCCCCCGCTTCTCCCCCCGCCTCTCCCCGCCCCTCGTTCTCCCCCGCCTCTCTCCGCCCCCCGCTTCTCCTCTGCCTCCCCCCCATTCTCCCGCCCCCCTCCCCCCGCACCCCCCCGCACCCCTGGACCTCCTCCTCCCCTCTCCCCTGCGCCCCGTCGCCCTCGCCATTCTCCGTCCTTGCACCGCCCAGGGCGCCTGTCGGCGGCCACAAGGTGCCGACAGGCGCACCCGATGTCCACGAAGTGCCTGCCCTCCTGCGGCGGCGGGGCTCCTCCTCCAAGGATGCCCCCTCCTCGTCCTCCCGGGTCCTCCTCGTCGTCTCCCCCCCCCCCTCTCTTCTGCTCCTCCCGCGTTCCGCGTTCCTCCTCTGCGCTCTTCCGTGTTTGTCCTCTTCCTGTTCTTCCTCGTTTTCGTCCTCCTCCTCCTCCTCCTCCTCTTTCCCCTCCTCCTCCGCTCCTTCTCCTTATAAATAACTTCTCCCTGTCGCACACCGAAGCCAGTGTTTACGGCGGGCCGGGCGTTTCGCCTGAGACTTCCTCACCACTAATGACCCTGAGGCTTAAACCTTGGCAACCGTTTCGCACATGGAGGCGCGCTGTTTTCAAAATGTGGTTCTCGCCTTTGCGCCGCGCGCGTTCGCTTTAACGACCCGGGGAGGACGTACCCAACCATTTGTTGGTATTAAAGAACATAGGGCGAGCAACTATACATCGGACCGCTCCGTTTAACAGCCATCATTGAATTATCCGCAATGCCCTTGAACGCTTCGCCAAAGAACGTCGGGCCAGATTCAGATGTTTCACATGCGGCGTCACTCTTAAGAGTCATGTCCTTGGTAAAAGAGCGACCACGAGGGGGCGTGGAAACATGTGGAAGAGGGACGATTGGGGACATCATTCGTGGGAGTAGCAACGCCTTGCGCTGCGTTCGCATTGCAGGACAGCGCTCTGCGCGCCATGACAATACAGCGCCTTGCGCTTAACGTAGCATCTGCGCGCACGCATTGCAAACAACAGGCAACTGAAGAAGGGATGCGGCATGGGCAACGGACAGCGCCATGCGCTATTCGTTGCGAGGCGCTGGCCCTCCCAGAAGCCCACGGAAACGGCGACGGACTCGCAGATCGCAGGCGCCAATGGGGCGGCGAGGTCCCGTGGTGATCTGCGTAGGACGTACCTCCGCTGGCCCTCCCAGAAGCCCACGAAAGTGGCGACAGCTTCGCAGATCGCAGCCCCCCAGGGGCGACGCGGTCTCGTGGTGATCTGCGTGGGACGTACCTCGGTTGGGCCTCCCAGAAGCCAGCGAAAGTGGCGACAAGTTCGCAGATCGCAGCCCCCCAGGGGGGCGGCCTCGTGGTGATCAACGTAGGACGTATCTCCGCTGGCCCTCCCAGAAGCCCACGAAAGTGGCGACAGCTTCGCAGATCGCAGCACCCCAAAGGGCGACGAGGTCTCGTGGTGGATCCGCGTAGGGCGTACCTCCGCTGGGGCCTCCCAGACGCCCACGAAAGTGGCGACAAATTCGCAGACCGCAGCCCCCCCAGGGGGGCGGCCTCGTGGTGATCAGCGTAGGGCGTACCTCCGCTGCCCCCCCCCCCCAGGAGCCCACGAACGTGGCGACAGTTTCGCAGATCGCAGCGCCGGCGCCCCAGGGGACGGAGAGGTCGCGTGGTGATCCGCACATGGCGTCACCCCACTGGCCCTCCCATGGGCCAGCGAAAGTGTCGACAGTCTCGCAGACCGCAGCACCCCACGGGGCGGCGAGGTCTCGTGGTGATCTGCGTGGGACGTACCTCTGCTGGCCCTCCCAGAAGCCCACGAGAGTGGCGACAGTTTCGCAGATTGTAGCCCCCCAGGGGGCGACGCGGTCTCGTGGTGATCTGCGTAGGACGCACCTCCGCTGGCCCCCCCCCAGGAGCCGGCGAACGTGGCGACAGCTTCGCAGATCGCAGCCCCCCAAGGGGCGACGAGATTTCGTGGTGATCTGCGTGGGACGCACCTCCGCTGGCCCACCCAGAAGCTACGAAAGAGGCGACAGCTTCGCAGATCGCACCCCCCCCCCCCCGCCCAAGGGACGGCGAGGTCCCGTCGTGATCTGCGTAGGACGCACCTCGCTTGCCCTCCCAGGAAGCGGGCGGACACGGCGACGGATTCGCAGATCGCCCCCCCCCCCCCCCGGGGGCGGCAAGGTCTTGCGGTGATCCGCGTATGACGTACCTCCGCTGGCCCAGAAGCTCGCGGAAGTGGCGACAGACGGCGTAGTCTCGTGACGGTATGCGAAGGACGTACTTCCGCTGGCCCTCCCAGAAGCTCACAGAACTGGCGGCAGCTTCGCAGATCGCAGCCCCCCAGGGGACGGAGAGGTCTCGTAATGATCTGCGTGGGGCGCACTTCCGCTTGGCCTCCCAGAAGCCAGCGAAAACTGCGACATATTCGGGGGCCGCCGCCTCCCAGGGGACGGCGAGGTCTCGTGGTGATCTGCGTAGGACGCACCTCCGCTTGGCTTCCCAGAAGCCAACGGAAGTGGCGATATATTCGCAGATCGCAGCCCCCCAAGGGGCGACGAGGTCTCGTGGTGATCTGCGTAGGACGTGCCTCCGCTGGCCCTCCGTGAAGCCCGCGAAAGAGGCGACAGCTTGTCAGATCGCAGCCCCCCAGGGGCGACGCGGTCTCGTGGTGATCTGCGTGGGACGTACCTCGGTTGGGCCTCCCAGAAGCCAGCGAACGTGGCGACAGGTTCGCAGATCGCAGCCGCAGGGGGGCGACGCGGTCTCGTGGCGATCTGCGTGGGACGTACCTCTGCTGGCCCTCCCAGAAGCCCACGAGAGTGGCGACAGTTTCGCATGTCGCAGCCCCCCTGGGGACGGCGAAGTCTCGTGGTGATCTGCGTGGGACACGCTCCAGCCGGCCCTCCCAGAAGCCAACGAAGGTGGCGACAAGTTCGCAAATCGCAGCGAAGCCCACGAAAGTGGCGACAGCTTCGTAGATTGCAGCCCCCCAGGGGACGGCGAGGTCTCGCAATGATCTGCGTGGGACTCGCCTCCGCTGGCCCTCCCCGAAGCCAACGAAAACGGCGACAGGTTCGCAGATCGCAGCCCCCCAAGGGACGGCGAGGTCTCGTGGTGATCTGCGCGGGACGTACCTCCGCTCGCAGCCCCTCTGGGGACGGCGAGGTCTCGTGGTGATTTGCGTGGGACGTACCTCCGCTGGCCCTCCCAGAAGCCCACGAACGCGGCGACAGTTTCGCAGATCGCAGCGCCCCAGGGGACGGAGAGGTCTCGTGGTGATCTGCGTGTCCCGCCCAAGTCGCCGCCGTAGAGGCCGTTGCCTCGTCGCGGGTGGCTCTTCTCTCCTGGCCCATGGCCTGGCCTGTTTGCTTGCGGTTGTTTCCCGTCCCTTTCTGCTCGCTGCTTCCCTCCATGTCCCTTCCTCCTGCTCCCTGCATGTTGTCCCCGCTTGGCCCCTCTTCTGCCTGCCCGCCCGCCCCGCCGGCCCTGGCCTCCCGCCTGGGCGTTCGTCGTCGTCTGCCTGTCCCCTCCCGCCTGGAGATCCTCCTTCTGGTCCGTAATTATCCTCGTCGAGAACCATCGCGCGCAACACGAACTCCTGAGCGGCGTTGCAGGTGTCAAGCTCCTTCTCCGAAATTCACGACCTGGCCGTTTCGGAGGCCGCCTTCCCGCTCTTGCGCAGCCGGGCGAGGTAGTGGGCAGCAATCCTCGCCTTCGCGCCTCCTAGGTTCCAGCCGTCGATGTCCCGATGCTTCTGGAGGTGATCCATGAGCCCCGCGAGGGTCGCGGGTCTCCTTCTCGATGATCTGGATGAGCTCGGGCACCTTGGAAGTACCTGCCAAATTCTGCGATCCTGTCAAGGACGTCGGGCCCGTGCGGATTCCGGCACCGCCTGGGTCGGCGCTCGAGCTTCCCTTGGTGACCGCGTCGGTCCTGACGATGTCCTCGTGCTCCTTGGGTCGATCCAAGAGAGAGCTGATCCCGCTGCTCACTCAGCTCCGACCTGATCCTGGGCGAGTCCAGCGAGCTCAGGGTCGCCTCGGTCCCCGAACTCCCGTTTGTCGTATGTGGCGAGTGATTGCCGCCGCCTTGCTCTATTTGGGCGATCTCTTTCGCGAGCTCCGTCTGCGATTGCACGACGACCCCAGCAAGTCGTGCATCTGGACACCCGCACGGCCGAACTCCCTCTCCGACGAGTCCGAATCCAAGTCCGAATCCACCCCAAACGGCCCTGCGGAATGCCTTCTTCTGCCCGGGCCACTTCAGGACGATGCCCCAGTCGAGGAATAAGCCCATAGCGATCAAGGCCATAACGTCCCAGTCCAGATCCTCGAAGTACCCGGCGATCTCCTCCCAGCGCTCGCTCGCGCACTCGGTGGCCTCGACCACTTCGCGGGCAGTGATGTACAAAGCCTTGATCGCAACCCAGATCTTGAAACGCTTGCCCACGACGTAGATGGCCCACGAGGCTCCGCCCCAGTACCCTGGGGCGCCCCAGGAGACGAACGCCTCGATCAGGTTGATGGCCGTCCCCAGGCAAGGCATTACTTATGTATTCGTCTAACCTTTGGTGGTAGCCGTCGTCCTCGTAGTAGCTTTGCTGTTGCGCTTCCGGACCACCGAATTCGACTGCTTCTCGATCTGTATCAGGTCGGCGGTGCTGAAGCCAGGCACGTCCGAGTAGTCGATCTCTGGCAGCGGAATCGGCTTTACCTTGGTCCGATCCCGCACATGGATCACCTGCGCGCGCTTCCGAGGGTCGGTGGCCGTCCAGTGCGGATCGTTTGCCTCCTGCGGGAACACCCGCCCCACCAACAGCATGACCACGCCTCGCCGACGCCCACCAGGCGCTGCCGCCTTGCTGGTGTAGTACACTCTGCAATATGTTTGAAAGGTTATATCCTGCTCGTGTAGTTGCACGCTCTCGAGGTCGTCCCCCGAGCAATGGAATCCGTCGTGCTGATCGGTCGGGTCCTCGCTGAACAAATGGGGCTCGGGAGCGTAGTAGCTCACAAACTCCTGACAGTACAGCTGCTCCTCACGCTCTGACGCGTTGTCGTCCCCAGCTGTCTCGTTGAGGGCCGAGAACTCCGTCACCAACACCAAAGAGCCCAAAAAGCCCCGCGGCCCAACGAGGGAACGCCGTGATTCCCTGTGATCTGAAGGATTTGAAAGAGGCTGCTCGATCAATCCCTAAAAAACTTGAGCCCAATTAGCAACAAACGGAAGGGAGAGCGGGAGCAGATACGATAAACACCGATCGACGATCAGATATTGGGTTCACTGTTTACGGGCCGCGTGTGTCCAGCAGATCTCAGCCCGAGGGCGGCACGCCATCGAATCGTTGTTTGTTTTCTCCCTCCCGGCCGGGCTCTTGCCCGGCAGAAGGAGCCGAGATGCGGGGCCTCCTTCGATTTCCGCCGCCTTCCACCAGCCCTCCGCCAGCGGGCCCGTCTGCGATCTGCTCTCGCCGCCTCCTGCCGGCTCCAACCGCGCGCCAGGTGTGGCCCCCGTGGTTTCGACGACGGCGAAAGCCTTCGTGGAGCTGGCCATGTACCCCAGCCTTGGGCTCCCCTGGATTATTTTGAGACTCTGGGAGGCCACATTAAGACGTGCGTGCGCAAAGCGGGCGTCTGGGGTCGTTGGGCGTGCGTGAGAAGTGTATGTTGGCACCCTACGTTCGCTAATACTTTTGATCACGCCTGGACGAGTGTAGTGTGGTTGTTTTGGGTATGGTCGTTTTGGATATGTTCCTTTTGGGTATGTCTGAAAGAATTTGGAGGGGTGGTGTAAAAAAATCAGAAAGAGACCAAACCAACCCGTCCTGTACTTCTACGTTGCGTACACGTGCAACATCGCGGGAAATTACTGCCAAAAAACCCCAAACCGATCTTTCCGCGACATTTCTCGACCTTGGTCGATGCGTGATGGTCCTGGGACCCGAACCAAGCAAACACTTTCCCGTCGGCGGCGAGGCAGAGGTGATCCACACCAGCGAGAGGCGATTCGGGGCAACCGAGCGAAAGCGCTGGGTGTGAAAAAGATGCAACGCCCGGATCTCAGGGCCGCCCACCCGCACACGTTCCTCCTGTCCCCCCCTGGGGATTCCTGCGCAGGCTCGTCGAGAACTCTGAGCACCCAGTGGCTGGACTCCCTCACCATCATGCAGATCGCGTCGACCTCTGCGGCGCTGTCTTCCATGGCGAAGCTGCCAACCTCGTTGTCCTTTCTCTCCTGTAATTGCGCTGGGACCGCACACCGCACCACAATCAAACACCAATGTGGTGGAAAACGTCCAGATCAAAGGGCATCAGCCCGCAAACCTAGCCGTTGGGTGCGAGTCCTTTCCTTTGCGGGCGTTTCCTCTCCCTGCCTGTGGCCACCCCGATCACCCCTCCTCAAACACGCCAGCTCAAACGAAAGCAAACAATGGCGGGATCGAGACACGAGTCTAATACAGTATTGTCGATCCTTGCGCCGGGACAGGTCGGAGGTTGGGGGGTCAGATCGCAGCGGAACGGAGACCCCCAACCGGGAAATCGTTCCGTTTCGTTCGTGTCGTGCGTGCGGGCGAGGCGAAGCTGCGTGGGCGCGCGAGAGGAATGAACCCGCCGCTGCTAGGGCGCATTCAAGACAAATGTTGCTCCCCCGTCCGTTCGTCCGTCCGTCCGTCCGTCCGTCCGTCCGGCGGTGGCCCAAGCGGTGTCCCGCGGTGTCCCGTGGTGTCCCGTGGTGTCCGCCGTTGCTAGGGCGAAGTCAAGACAAATGTTGCTCACCCGTCCGTCTGTCTGTCCGTCCGCCTGGCGGTGATCCTAGCGGTGGCTCGGGGTGTCCCGCGGTGTCTCGTGGTGTCCCGTGGTGTCCGCCGCTGCTAGGGCGAAGTCAAGACAAATGATTCTCCCCCGCTCGCCCGTCCGGAGGTGGCTCGCGGTTTCCCGCAGTGTCCCGTGGTGTCCCGTGGTGTCCTGTGGTGCCCCGTTGAATGAGATCGATAAACAGATCGATAGTGAGATCGATCGTAAAAACGATACTGAGATCGATGTGGTGCCCCGAGGTGTCCCGTGGTGTCCCAACACATGATACAGATAGAGAGATCGACAGGTGTCCCGTGGTGTCCCGTGGTGTCCCGTTGAGTGAGATCGAGAGTGAGATCGATAGTGAGATCGATGTGGTGCCCCGAGGTGTCCCGTGATGTCACGTGGTGTCCAACAAAATGAGATCGAGAATGAGATCGACAGGTGTCTCGTGATGTCCCGTGGTATCCCGTTGGGTGAGATCGAGAGTGAGATCGATATTGAGATCGATGTGGTATTCCGAGGTGTCCCGAGGTGTCCCGCGGTGTCCTATGGTGTCCCGTTGAGTGAGTAGTGAGATCGATAGTGAGACCGATAGTGAGATCGAGAGGTGTCCCGCGGTGTCCCGCTGTGTCCCGTGGTGTCCCGTTAAGTGAGATCGATAGTGAGACCGATAGTGAGATCGACAAGTGTCCCGTGGTGTCCTGGCGAATGAGATCGAGTGAGTCAGATGTTGGTTCCCCCCTCTCCCCCCCAACAACCTACTTATCACCCGAAGGGTCGTCGTATAGGTATATACAGAACTGCGCGGCGTGTTGACATTCCAAGACTCAACACAATTATCTTGGCTGATAGGCGATGGGCAATGGCAATGCTGAGGGTATCGATGGTGATGTTATGATGCCAGTGGCTGTGCTGTGCTGCACTGCGCTTTGGCGTGCTGTGCTGGACTGTACGGACTGTGCTGTTTCATGCTGTGTTGAGCTGTGCTGTACTCCATTGAGTTGTGGATCAAGGCGTCCTGGGCGTCCAGAGCGTTGCGGAACGCTCTGAGACACCTCCATCTCCATCTCCACCTCCATCTCCGATGTCGATGTCGAGTTCCCTTATCCCGATCTCAGGCCTGCCTGAAGACGACCCGCCACCGTGCCTTCGTCACACAGGGGCGTGTTAGCCGAGTGCCCCTCCATCTTCTTGTGGGGCCTACGGCCGTTGTTGTTTTGCCTAGCGCGTCGAGGCGGCGGCCCTGGCGAC